CAAAGGTCAGTCACCATATTGTTTACTTAATTATTCAATCTATTTTTAACAGCTTGTCTATTCTGATAGGTTGTAAACGGAAAGATTTCGTATACGAGTATTTTGGTGTCAGTGAAGTAACAAGAAGGGGTGGTTAGGGTTCCTCATATCCCACAACTGATAAAATTAGCCACCGTTCCATAAAAAAGTTACTTAATATACCACTTACTGCGTCACACGGGGAGTTTGAATCTGATTCTAGGGGATAGGGGCTTTTTTTTCAAAATAAATCTCATATTTATTAGACGTGAAAATATTAAATATTCACATAACCACGCCCTTCTAAACTTATTTTGTTTCTTGAATCATAATGATTACTATACCTATTATGTGCAATAATTAATAAACAATAATTTAATAATACATAAAACATATATATTACATAATACATAATTACAGTATTACCTTAATTAAAGTTTTAAACAATCGAAGAATGCGATGTGTTATTAATAACCAATAATACATGCTAATAACAGTAGAGTACCTAAAAATTAGTAAACTTCAGTAATTTATGGTACATTAGTTATAGTACTAATAGACGTATACGTGTGCGATACTTGAAAAAAAAAGAAAAAAAGACAGACATGAATACATGATAAAATGATAAAATGAAATATTTTAACATGCTCACAGAATCGACTCAGACAGTCAGACGTTCAATACTTTACTGTGAAGTACATACTATATAAACTCCAGCGTCTGAGTTTTTACAGTTTACTATAAAGTCTTTAAAATGTAATGTAGACGTCAGACATGATCATTAAATTACATACACCAGTTTATTTGTTTTGTTGACGTTGTTTCCGGGAAAATACGAATCAGCAAGGACGTATCGACTCCAAAAATTATCAAATGAACAAGAAAATAGAATCAAATTTATAAGTTGTAATTAAATTAATAATAATAAATCGTCCACTATAATTTATTATTAGATGGAGCTAAGGCTCCTCCTATACTACCACTTCCTATGTTACCTTTGGACAAATCTTTTTTTAATCTCAATTAATCTTTGAAAAATCAATTTTTTAAAGAAATGTCACTATAATTTCCTATATAGTATAATGCGGTGAATCGGTACCATGTCCTTTTCATTATTGAACATTAACAATATATTTTTTTGTACCAGTTGTTACTTATTATTACCTATTTATATAAAAATATCGAATGGCTGTTATGGCTATCGATGGAAAACGTTATGCCTTTTTGGCACAACAATTAAGAACACTAAAAATTCACATAGAACTCACCGCTTACCCTAAAAACTAAAATATACTAATACGAATGAAAACGAATTTATGTGCAAGGTAGCAATATCATTTAACTGGCTAGGTATCGAACAATTCAGCATGTTGATTTTCTTTACTGAAAATGTGTAACGAAAAATAATAATTAGGTACATAATATATGCACTGTTAAAATGATTCACAAATCACAATAAATGTATATATGTAAATAACATTTGTGATAAAAAAAAACCCCCATAGTCATAAATTATAATAATAATAATCTTATAAAAATATGTCTTTATAAATAATGGGTTGGTAAATAATAAGTTGTAAGAAGTCTGAAGTTACATAATATATTATATAAATATTTTAAAACATTTACTGAATTTTGTATAACATATCATATTTATTTTTAATGTTTTGTCTTTTCATTTTTTTGGTAGTTTTTTTGATTTTACCTTGTTCTATCGTAGTATGTTAACTATAAAATCGCATCTACGACTTCTTCATGACTTGAAAATTGTAGAACAAAAAATGACTTATGCCACTTTTGTAGACTCTAAGTTGTCTAAGTCTTCAAATTGTTTATAATCATTTCGAAATTGGTTTTCGATATTCATCTGGACCAGAGCCAAATACCTTGACAATAGTTCGATATAAATTATAAATTATCGAATATGGTAATGTTAGAAAAATATATATATAATAAGTACCTAAATTTCATATCACTGTATTTCACCGGCAATTATCGTCTAACCCTCAAGTGTTTAAAAAAATTCATGACAAAATTCATAGTTTATTTTGTTTAGTTTATAACAATTAAGTTATTCTACATTTTTCAAGCGTAGAATTTTTGTTCAGTTTTTGTAGGTTTGGTCAACTAAGTAACTTTAAAAAATTAGTTTTCAAATTATCTAGTAGGTCAAAGGTTCCCAAACTGTGGGCAGGGATTACATTTTTGGTGGGTCACATTAAATTTGAAATATTTATAGGTATTTTGTACATATTTTTATAACATAAAATGTTTAACATAAGTTAACCTATATAGGTACTACAAAATAAATACATAAATGAGAAAAGATTTTGTGTATAAATACGAATGCATTCAGTATTTTCCTAATTATATTTTACAAATGTACAATGTAATTGATGTTTGAATTTATAGTTTTATAATTGCGATCATTATCGATTACAACTTTTAAGTGTATCTACAAGTGGCATGTCACCACAACGCTTCTAGACTAAAAGTTATCGAAAAATAGCGATCAAAAATGACATAAAAAAAGGTCATTAGTATGGAGAAAATTATTTTCAAATTTTCCAAAATGGGGAGTACTGTGAAAACTTTGAAACCCCTGCAGTAGATAGTAATAAACACATTATAAAAAAATATACCACAGAAAAATTAAGAAAAAATGATGTCATATTGAGTATGGTAATACCGAAAATAATGTTGAAATGTTCACAAAATATGTATTTTAGTAGGTAATATTATTAATTCTTTTACAAGTTTCAGAAAACTATAAATTTTGAAACTTCTTGTTGTGATATTTTTTATATACAACGTTTATTATTATTTTTTAAATGTGTCCTAGTGTAAAGTAAAATATAATGGTATATAATACCTATAATTAGGTAGGCACTTACATATAATCTTAATTGTATATATTTTTAATTAGAATATAATTTGCAATTGATTTTGATGGATTTTCTTAAAATTTAAACTTTTAATGATTATCAACAAAATATATTATTATATACATTTGATGATTTAAAGTTGCTATAAAAAAAACTTGTGTTTGTTCATGTATTACATTTTTAAGCTTTTTTACCAAAGCCTAAAATGTTTTATCAACACTTACCTTTTTTTATTAAATATACGCCATAAGTAATAAATATCTAAACAATTTACAAGGCTTGACGGGCTTGAGTGAAGCACCGTCCAGTAATAGTACTTCAACTTGAGTGATTTTTTTATAGATTCTTTGTTTTTATTTTTTTTTAAAATTATTTGTTCATGTCGTGTGACCAATTACGCTTTAGGTGACGGAGAAAATTATCCAGGAGATTAATAGAAAAGAGATTTGGTACAAGGGATTTGAGTGGGGTAAAGTGTCGGGGTGGAAATTTTTATAGTGAGTGGAAGCAAGAACAGAGAGAAAAATATGAATTTTAAGATCGCTTTTATAGAGTTAAGACTTCGGACCTATGCTGTCAGTGGTGTGCAGTTTGCCGAATCGTTCGCCGTGCCCGTAATATTTGGGCACGGCGCATTTGCAACTGGGTCATCGCTATCATGAGCCGCAAAGTTAGCTATGGCATATTCTAGTACTATCTACTGATCATTATTGTAACTTTTAACCATTTACATGTTACATTTTTAACAACAACTTACAAGTTGTTATTGTTATACCGTCATCCTAGGTGACTATTCACATTATTTTTTTAATTAATCTGAAAAAAAACTCTGAAATCTGCAAAAATAAATTCGTTGTTGTGTATACCCTAGAACGGCTATAACAACTTAATACAATAATACCTTATAAAAATCGAAGTGTAAAAAATAAAAATTTGTTTTGAGTCATCATAAATTTTGGGTGACGAGAAACACTTATTTAATACACCTACATTTTAAATTAAAATAATTTAATGATGACTTAAAACAACATATTTAAATTAAAAAATAACAAAAGTAGAAAAATGCCACTTTTTAAAAAATTCGGGAACAACATAAACAGTAACTTTATCATTTTTACCAAGATATAATAAAATTAAATATATGAATATTTCTATAGCTGAACAATTAACCTAAGTTTAATAAAAGCATACCTTATTCATTAATAATTTTTTTAAGTACCTAGGTACATAATAAATAATAAAAGAACAAGTAGGTATTTAATGAAAAAAATATGAAAAAATTCTTCATTTGCACAAGTCACCTTAGTTTTTATTTTATGTTACTCATGACTTATGAGTTATGATCTAAACTCGAAAAAAATATTTTTAAACATTCGATAGGTAACATAAAATATATTCTATTATACTACTTAGGTAGGTACTGTCAAAAATATACAAAATGCGTAATTTGACCTTTTCCATATAAATCCAAAATACTTTTGATGGCGATTAGTGATTACAAAATGGCTAAACATTTATTAGATTTCTTATTCATCTTTTCGATTTTGTAAGAAAAATCACCTGATTGATGACCGTTTATTATTGAGTACCTATCACAAATATGCAAAGAATATTTTAATCCAAGAAGGGTTAACTTATTCCTGAATCTTGGGAAATGGAATTATCAGAATATGCTAGGTAAACCTATTGATTTAACTTTCATAAAATCATACTGTTTCAACTTTCAAATCGCACTGAAGTTTCAAGTCACCCAGCCATCGGGTTGACGGTATGTCTTTGGTTATAATAGTTAAATAGTACCTATAGACACATCGATTGATTACAAATAGTATATGATTATTGATTATTAATTAGTACAATAATACTAATTATAATCAACACTAAAACTGCACAATAAATTGCTAGGTATAGGTACTAGGTACTAGGTTGCTACTAGGTACCTAAGCGTCGAACAGTCAGGTCCGATTTGTCGTCGGAGTTCATTGTTGTTATCTTTACCGTCGGCTGTTATCACAATCGCGCTGCTACCCATAGATAATGAATTATTATTATTATTATTATTATTATCAGCAATGCCGACGACACGCGGCTCAGTGGCTGTCACCCGATAAGATAACCGGATCAATCGTGATTTGTGAAACGATCGTTCGTATTTCGTCGCGTCGTTATAATAAATTAATGCATCGTGAAAAAAATTTCAATTGTTTTTATTGTACAGCTGTACAATCGTTGCTATGATACCCGTTGTAAATAACTAATAGTTATCGTTCCGGGACCGTAACTTACAATAACGTAAAACGACGTTGAGTGCCCATTTATAGGATAGGCACTGTTTTTATATTATTTTATTTTAATCGAACAACGGTTTTTTATCAATTTTTCAGCTCACTTGTCAGCGCCTAAACGGACATTGTCATCATGGTAGTGGCCAATGAAAATGGTAGCGCATACACACCGACTGTTGTGGCTCAGGTCCGTTACATGTTACAATGGTTTGGTGAGTGGAGCGAAATGGAACGCGGCGACTTCTTGCCGGTATTGGTTCATGGGTTTGGGTGTAACAGCAGCGCTGCCAATGGTCTACCATCTATCATGGAAACCCTATGCAAAGAGGAAGGCCGTCCACTTAGTCTGTTCAAATGCCGCATCAAGCTGTTCACTGAATGGGTCCAGACGTGGTCTGACGAAGACAAAGACAGCTTCCTGAGCGGTATACGTTCTATGGACACAGATTTTGCAGAGAGATACGAACAAAAAGCCGTTAACCATGTGGTCAACAGCTCTGAGCACTGCAATGGTATTAATGGGGATAAAAATCCCGATGAATTACCAGAAGAAACAATTTAAATAAACAACGTTCATCACATATTATAAGCTCTGTGATTCCAAATAATACTTCATTTATGGTTGAAAAGTTTTACTCAACTATTCATTTTGGTAATGGATTCTTACTTAATGATAATTTTAAATTGAATCAGTTTAAAATAGATTTTTACAACTTACCTATATAATAATATATATTATAATACTCAATACATTCCAACCTATCTATACTTAGGTATCTATTACTTCAATATTTTACTGTATGCCTATTGACTTATCAAAAATTGTTACTACTTATTTTGTATTTGTGTACACATCCTCCCTAAAACATTTTTAGTTGTTTTATCACATTCCAAGAACTGCCTAATAATAATGATTGTAAACATTTAATCTATATTTTATTATATTTAATCTTATTTCATTTTAGTTTTAATATTTTTTTTTTTTTTTTGTATTGAATATTATTATACATCCCCTGTTTATAATAGTGTATACAAAATTATTAGTAGGGATTTTTTTTTTTTTCTCTCCATTAGAATTAGAGATTAATATTTATACTCAATGTATATAGTAATATGTTGCATTTGTTTGCATGATAATAATTTGCCATTAATAAATTGAGTCTATAATGTAAATGTAATATTATCTTACATAATTAATTTTAAGAATAGCTATTTTGTCAAGCAGTATTATTAGAAACATAACAGTATTATTTAATTTAAAAATATTTACATATGATATTTAATTATAATTGTATGATACATATTTAGGCTTATTAATTCTATTGTGCAATCATTATGTTATATTTAATTTAATTAAGATTAAGTTTTATTTTCAGTTTGTGAACCGAATTAGATTACCTAAGACTAATGTGAATTATATAATATCACATAATAATATGTTTTAATTTTAAACTAAGAATTACATCTCAAATTGTTAGTTTTTTTTATAAAAAAAAATTACATAACTGTCAAGTTTTTAAAACTGCTACTCATAATATGCCTAAATGGCTATTACAAAACTTATAAAAATGCAATTTTATGATTGATAAAAAAAAATTAATATTTGAGCAACATAACAAGATGTTAATTTATAAGAAATAATTAACTGTACTAGGTATTTATACTACAATAATAATATGTTAGGTAATAATTAATATTGTATAATTTTTAAAAGTCTAATAAAGTAATACATTTTGAAGAATTTAATACTCATTATTGAATTAAAATATTAATAATATAAAAACTACCCATTAATCAAAAAATATTAAATTTTAGTTTTTACCAATACTAATATAAGCAATTAAAAGTGTGTTGTGTACATACAAGTAGTGTTGTGGAGTAATGTGACATACTTAAATTATTTTGTAAGTATGTAACTATTTAAAACATAATAACTTTAAAAAAACATAGGTGGTAACTTGGTTAGTATTTTGATTTTTCAATGCAAAAGTAACTACATTAATTACTTATTTTGAAATAACTTTCTAAAATAATGTGTTACCTTTTATTTTTACTTCATAAAGTCAAGTTGACCATTTTGTAAGCATAGCAACAGCTCATAACACAATACTCGTTTATAATATAATATAAGTCATAGCACGAGACAAATTCGAGGTCAGTGGTGGTGATCATGTGACTAGATTACCACCAGACACCAGTACTTATTAAATGTCTTTTAATATTATTTATTCGCTTATTGCTTTTTATGAATTTAAATATTATGTATTTACTATTAGCAATTTACTAATATATAAACTTAATAGAATGGCAGCTAGTATGGAACTTAGTAATAATTTATTGGTACCTATTCGAAATGTTAACACGTCGAATTACAACAAAGAAAAATAGGGAAAGTAGGTACCGCTCTTCTGAAGGTACAGTATATGCAACTCGGCATTGAGTACACTAATAAATGTGTTAAATACTTTAATTTAATTTATTTTAATAATAAATCACTGCATACGAAAAACAATTTCAAGGAAAAACGGTATTTCACCAGTATTAGTAAGTCGGTATGTAGAAACTATATTGTATTATTATACATCTACATACTACATGTTGCTAATAATTAGTATGGTAGACGGAAGTTCACGGTAGATATAAACTATTTATACATAAGCGGCTAAGCAATACTTCAATATCTGTTTGCTTGAGAATAATCTAATGTCATTGTCACAGTAAAGTAAGGTAGGTCCCTAATAATATCATGGACGTACAATTGGGGGGGTATGAGGGGGCTATAACCCCTTCCAGAATTCTGATAAGCTCCCTCGGAATCTGCAAGAAGTTCCGGCGGTGTCGTCGTTACTACAAGGAAAAAAAGCTATAGCCCCCCCCTCCCAAGATAAATTCATCACGCTACGCCCATGAATAATGTAAGTATATAGGTAGGTAAACATTTCAAGTCTTCAAGGGAATAGAAACAAATATACCTATTCAAATTACAACAAAATAACTAAAATCATTATTCCTCGTTTAAATAGGTATATTATTTCGTCAAAAATTGAACTTCAAATGTCTATATAAATTTCTAAAAGGATAGAAACAAAAATAAAAATTGAAAAAAAAACTAATCATTGTAAGATCAATAGAGACATCCCCTCCGGATCTACAATATGAGGACTAAAACAATAATCTGAATAATTAATACAATGAATATTTTACCGTAAACTGGGATACACTCATAGTTCATTCACCGTGAAGCACGATTATAAAGATAATACTTAGGTAATACTTTATAAATTATAATCGTGTCTGGAGTAAACTCAAATTTAAATTCTTTGGCCTGCAACAAATATAATAAATAATAAATTAATAAATAATATTTTATTAAATATTAATATTGAAATAAATCAATAGGTAGTTGAATAAGCCAAACAGAGAACATGGTTTATTTGCATACATGTATATGTCGCATCCACTTAGTGTAGCCATAAAGCGTTTGGGAACAAACATAATGGTTGGAAAGAGTCAAATAGGCGTATGCTCTCACAAATTTAGCTTAAAGTTTATAATTTTTTGGAAATAAAAAACAAGACATTTCTCTCGGAATTTTATTGGTATCCCGATTGACAGTATATACGACTAACACAATGACGGCATGTTACATAATATCGTGTACCTATCACTAATTTAATGCAATTGAATACCTACGATTAATTATAAGTAGGTAGATAGCACATCATTTTGAGGTCAATTTCAAAACTACAGAAGAAAAATTTGAAGTTAGTTACATAATAAATGTAAGTTCATTATATTATAATATATTTTTAAGGACATGGATACCTTTTAGATAATAATAATAATACTAAACTACTATGGTCGGTCCACTACATGCCTCCACGGTCTTAAAAGAGCTAGCTATGGCCTATGGATGTCGGATGATAGTATTATAGGTAGAAATATTATGAATGAACGATAACACTATATATTATTATGCTATCTGTGCTGAACAACAGAATTCGGATGTCTTAACTATATCTAGTATTGCTAGTATAGATATATGTTGACTGATTAATGATTGGCAGAACAAATCGATTTTGGTCGGGCATGTTCTCTCTAGACAAAGAATGCGTATGGCCGTACCTACCTAACTAGGTAGTTACATTTATCCATCAAAGCCATGACCTAGTGAACATTATTATTTATTACAACTGCCACGTCAGTAACATGTTGTGACCGGACAGTCGAGTACTAATAGTGCAGAATATAAATGAAACATCATTTATTCTATTCTATTCTAATACTTAATAGTACCTAACCTGTTCTTTATAATCGTTCTGTGCAGTACAAAAGATATACCTACCTATCGGCTATCGTATTGTTATTTACTACATTTAGATAAAATATTAAATAATAAGATATTATATTTAGTTTTACCAACCAGTAATTTAAGTCTGTTTTTCATTTTAACCAAATGCTGATCAATGCCAACAAACAAATCACTGGAAATATAATAGTTAAAAAAAAGCATAAACCTACATTTCACAATGTTTTGAGGCTAATGTTATTTCAAGACAAGGCGTAGTCTCTCCAGTATTCCTGGAAAACAAAATTTTAGGTATCACCAGTTTCAAAAGTCAAATATCTAGGTTTACTCAATGACAAACGCGGCTTAACTTGGGCCCAGCATATTAAACAAAAACGCCTCTTACTGAACTCCAGACGAAAGAGTCTATAGTCTATAGTCTATACCCACTGCAATGCAAACAATCCAAACTAAACCTTAAATAAAATTCTGCTTTACAAAACCCTTCTGAAACCCATTTGGGCTTGTGGTACCGCATTCACAGTCAGCTTTTATATTTCTGCTCATATGCACATTGCAACTATCATTACAGATTGTACATTATATTCAAATAAATTATTAAAAAAAAAAAATTTTACTCCAAAAAGTAAAAAATGTTTAAACAAAATTCAAAAAAAAAATATTTTTCTCCAAATACCTCTAATATTATATACACATTTTAGCATTAGTATAATAATTGTATGGTTTTTATGTATTAGTAATATATCCTTTTAAAAAATATTTTATTATTTTGTATTATATTGTTAAAAATACATTTATTTAAGTATAAAACTCCTTTTAAGAAATACATAGGCAATAGAATATGCAACATTTCCACTACTGCCTTATCAGGAAGTTATAAAATGATAAGTGCCAATTATTATGTGCTGGCTCATCACTCATCAGTCATTGTCGGCAAAATACTGTAATCGATTATTTTAATGCTCGACAGTCTTATTCTGCAGTCTAGTATATTCTGTCTCTAGTCTTCGTTTTGCGAGCTACCGGACAAACTAGTAATAAGTTATATTATAGTAATAACGTGACAAGTGACAACTACTGACAATATTGTGAATTGTCAAATACTTATACATTTTAATATTGTTGATGTAACTACTTTTATTTCTTGAAAAACAATTGGAAATCAATATTAAATCAAATTAATACCTTGTTATATTTTGTCATAATTGAGTTGGTCTTGGGTTTCTAGTAATCTGTAGTTAATTTATAAAACAATTTAAATACTGCATCAAATATTGGTGTGTTTTGCAATTAAAATTTGAGCTATTGAACGTACATTTCCAGTAATTCTATTATAATTTATAAGGTATAGTTCGATATTTACTATCTACTTTTTAATGGTACTATATTTTTATGTTTTAGTTGTAGCCTGTAAGTTTTTCAGTAGATAATCATAATTTCCAAATTATACCTGAACACTTATTAAGTTCCAATATTATTTATACATTTCTTTAGTGTTACACGTATATTCCTCATACTTATTTGTATTTTAGTCTCATTTTTATAAACATTTGATTTTATGAATACTGTTAAAGACTGTGGTGTGGTGAAAGCTAATTATGAGGCCAAATGGGTGAATGGGTTTAAAATTGTCAGACGTGTAAGACTGTAGGTCAATAGGTTTGAGGTAATAAACTAGTGATTAATAAAAATGTAATACGTTTAACTTACCATTCAGTCTATAAGAATGTAGGTTATGTTGTACTACCAAGTATTTCTGGCGATGACTTATGATAACTTTCAAACAATGAGAGAAATTCTATCATCAATAGGTATACTTAGCATCGACTATGAAATGTAACTAATTTAGTCCAAATTCGACACATTCTATGACTTGACAGTTTTGGAAACATTATTATATTGACATTTCTGTAGCCTGAATGGGAGGATTGAGTGCAACAAAATATTAAAAAATTAACGAAAAATAATTATTTATGATGTAGCCCATAAGTATTCAGTTACTTGGACTTTTAAATGAATGATTATTGCAGTTGGAATAAGAAAAAAACAAAGATCACTACTGACTTAATCATAGGGGGGGGGGGGGGTAATGGTAGGTAAAAAACTTCTGGGCTTAACCCAAAAAATTGTTCTACATGCCACTGGTTGTAGATATTTTGTTATTGCTTTTGTTTTATGACATTAATATGCATGCATTACACAGAATCGTAAAATATTTTTGAAAATTTTGTTTTTGTGTAGTTTTATTTTAAAATTTACCAAAACTGCAAATCTTTCAATACAGTTTAATCATTTTTTTTATGTTTTAGTTGACAAACAATGGCCCAAGAAAATATAATTCACGGATCTGCAATTCCTGATTATTTGCTAAACAGTAAATCAAATTTAAGTCAGTTCTTTATTCGATTACTCAGTGAACTAGGAAATAAAACTGCAATGGTATGTAAAGCTTTACTACTATAAGTAGAAGAATAACATTTATTTATTTAATAATATTGAAACTATTATTCAATCCTTATACCCATTGTTTGTGTAAAAACCAATAATATTTTTATGCCAGGGTTTAAATATTATAGGCTGTGAGCCTGCATGTTTTTCCTTTTCCTAAGTGACTAAAGTGGACAGTGGTCTTGTGTTGAGAGTGAGCCATTCTTTCTCCGACTGGTGGCTTGTTCCCACATAAATAGTTTACATTATTGTGTGATTGAGATTTGAAAAGTTATTCTATGCAGTGATTCTGCTTCTGCTGAATTATGCCCAGAATTAATGGAGGTCTCTCTCTCTCTTAGGATACAACAAAATAATTAAATTAATTTTATGTATTTGTCCAGAGAGAAATGCTGCCTGTCTCCAGGTTTATAATAGTTATATTTTTCTTTCTAAATAACACAGTTGTAAATTGTAATTTATCTGTTTATAATATCTATATTAGATTTTGTGAACATTCAATATCATACATTTATAACCATTATAACTTACTATAAATTACTTTTAAATAAAATTTAATACTTTAAAATATTATTATTATTTTTTTAAATTAATTTTTAAAAATTAAAATACATTTTAAATCTCAAGTTCTAGGAAAAAAATTAAATAAATTTTAAAAAAATGAATAATAAATATTTAAATAATGTGTATGCTTGGTTTTGTAAGAATAAGTTAAAGTACAATTTATTAAAAATCTAAATTGAATTGTTTTAATTCACCTGTTAATAATGTTTTACATGGACATAATTTCAGTGTCCATTATCTAAAATATAATCCTAATTTAAATACCAATTGTGGTCTTAAATGTATAAAACTTGAAAAATTCAATGAATTATAATTATTTTAAATATCTTAGCTTATTAATGGACTATAGACTTTTTTGTCCTGTTTAACTGACAGCAGAGGAGGCTCTGTTTTAACAATACTACTCCTGATAGATTATAGACCTTTATGGGATAATCATGTCAATTATATTAATGGTATTTCACTGACATGTTTCTATGTATTTATTGAAGCCAAGTGTATATTAGATGTCAATTATAAAAAAATCATTTATTTAGCTTTACTGTAAACTATTTTCTCATATGGTGTATTCATTCGGGGAGAAATTTTTGGTAACATGTCTAAGCTCGGTGTTCCAATGAATTTTTTTATTAAATATTTTCTAAATCTTCCTATACAAACTAATACTATTCTAATTTATGAAAAACTCAATGTAAAATATTTTAAGATTATTTATAACCAATCTGTATTATTACACTTTTATATAAATATAAACATTTAATAACTGTATCATATATTCATATTATGAACATAATACTAGATCTAAACAAAATGTTAAAATACATTATTGGAGCTTCAAAAAGTTTTTAGACAAAAAAGTGTCTTGTATACTGGTTTTAATTGATGTCACTTATTAAATATTTACATAAATCAGTTTGATAATTTAAGTCATTTAAAAGTCAAAACTTATCTTAAATGTATTTATTTGGCAACCATAATACAATTATAATATGGGTAATACATATGTAAAATTATTGTACTATGTATAGTGTTAATATAACCAGTAGATTGTTTTTCAATTTATTTGTATTCTTAAATTGATAAAAACTCGCTAACCCCACCACAAGTTTTGCTTCTAGGGAATTCTGCCCTATGTATTTATACTCGTATTTGTATTATTTATCTTCTTGTTGTTGCAATTAAGTTGAAGAACGAGAGATAAAAGTGACAGGAGAATACTTTTTGTAAGGTGTCAGCTAGACCAGTACCATTTAAACTTTATAATTAATTCTAGGTTGATATTCATGATGGGTCTTCATTTACATTCAGTACAATTTTACAAGCAAGTTTCAATATAGCTAATTACTTAAAGTATGAGTTTGGAGTACAAAAATCTGATATTGTTGGAATATTTAGTGAAAACACAATTTGGTATCCATCTCTTGTACTGGCCGTATGGCATGTTGGCGGTGTTTGTGCATTGTTCAATCCCATGTATAATACTAGTAAGTTTGAAATTAATTTAAATCATAAGTACGTTTACATTTACATATGCCTAAGTAGCAATTGATAATTTTACTTATTCTGTATAGTTTACTACATAAGTTTTACTTTTAACATGTTTGTTATTATTATATCAATGTTAGAATATTTTTTATAAGTATAGGTATATATTATAATAAAGTACATAACAGGGGTCACCAACTGGCAGACCATATTTTGTATACGGACTGCAAGCACTATTTTTCAACTTTTATCAGGAGTAGTTTTTAAATTTTTATAACATAAATATTTAAAGTACTAGTTGTGTAATATAAAATATTAGAATATAAAACTTATTTAAGTAATTGGTGCAATCAATATAAATACAAATTTAAAAGAAAATATATTTATTAATTTGTGCAGAAGTTATTAAAAGTGTTTGGGATCGCGGAAAGTTTGGTGAGTTTCAAAGTGGACCCCCATAAAAATTAGTTGGTGACCTCTGGTATATAATATATAATATATAAAATACATATTATAAATATATACAATATCTATTAAATTCTAATAATTTAATAGATGTTTAATATTTGTTATACTTACAACAAATATTATGTTCTCTTATACGGGGACAGATTAAGTACAGAGCCTAGGAGCCCTGGCTCCAGGTTCTTTAATATTGAAGGCCCCGAGGGTTAGGTTATCTCAGACAGAGTTCAAAAAAGTATAATACTGAACATTAATTACATACATTTTGGCTTTCATACTTATTTCAAATTGATGACTGAGCAGGAAATCGTAGATATGGTAAAAAATCTTGGTAAAATATATCCGGACGACGTTGATTGTGTAATGTGTCCTGAAAAAACATACACTTTTCGAAATTAGTTGATGTATCTTATTTTTAAAGATAGTTCTGTACAATCAATTAATTTGTAACATTTTTTTAAAGAGATAAAATACCGTTATTGATAATAAACATTGTAAGGGCTAAGATCGAAGGGTCTTTTGGACTACTAGGCTTCAGGTCCGGTAAACTCTTAAACCAGTCTTGCTCTTAAAAATGTTAATAATTAATATATTTTGTAATTATAGGTCATAATCTCTAAATGTCAGAAACCTTATATTATTAATTTTATTATGATTTTTGTTTTCACCAGAGGAATTAACACATGTGCTAAATATAACTAAACCAAAAATTATGATAACATCAAAAATGGGTTTGGAAATTGTAAGAAATACTGCTAAACCTCTGGATTTTATCAAATATGTGTGTCCTATTGATATACTTTGCAATACTAGAACAATTGAAGAAAATAATAATTTTGTACCAACTGCATACGACAATAAACAGACCTGTGTGATATTATTTTCTAGTGGAACAACTGGCTTACCTAAAGGAGTAGAGTTGTCTCATAAATCTATATTTCTCATGGTTTCTATCTTAAAGTTAGTATGACTATTATAATTTATTTTAAGTAATTTATAAATTATACATATATACTTACACAAGTTTATTGATGTATTATGACTTATGAAAAGGGGTTAAAGTGAGGGGGACACAGGGGGACTGAGTCCCCCTACCTCTAATGGTGGTTAAAAAGCATCCCTTTCACAAATTATTCTTAAGGTATCCTAGAACGCTTCAATTATGATCAAACATTAGTCAATGACTCAATATAATTTCAGAATTCTGTTGAGATTAAATTTTGGTTTTAATTTTTTTTTATTAATTGTTATTTTACTTTTAACAAATAGATTGTATACAAATTATGGACAATCTAATAATATATGTGTAAAATAATTGATTCTTTTTGTTATTGTAAATGGCTATACTTTGATTAATAAGTTTTTGATTAGCCTATAAGTGTGATTTTTTAAACATGTGCACCCCGCCATGCGTAGAATTTGAATTTTTCTTGTACAATTTAAAGCACTAAAACCACTACATTTTTATGACATAAATATTTTATTTCTGGGTAATGTCTTTAGTTTTCTTAAAAGACAACCACTACTTACAACTTAATATCATGAGAAAAAATAAGTATTCTCTTTCAAAATATCATATCTGTATAAAGTATTAGTTATTCTTAAAAATGTAGTATTATTTGTGATTTAAATTTTTCATAAAATAAATTACAAATTTGAATATTAATCAGTGTTGAAAGTGGAAAAAGTACCAACTACTATTGATCACTGTTTATACATAACATTTACTATATGTACTTGCATAATGCATTAGATAGTATACATACAATTAAATATATTTTAACTCTTAGAACATTAGTTCCCCTAGAATTTTTTCCCACTTTATCCCTGCTTATGACGTATATGGTATATTTCAAACAATTGTATAATTTAAGTATGTTTAAAATTATTAAATTACCTAACTAGTGTATCAGATGATGAAATATTAAATTATAATAAAACACCACAAATTAATGCTAATAAGACTTTAAAAACAAAAACAAAAAATATTCTTTTATTAGTTCTAATCGATAATTTAAAAATATATTTATAAATTATATTTTAGATTCTGAGCTGAGCAATGAATGTATTGATTATTTACAATAATGTGTGTTTTTATTTGTGTACACGATAAGTAGTTAAAATAATACTTTGATGTTCAACTTAAGTATCTTTTCCTGCAGGAAAGTGAATCTAGTTGGTGCATTCAAGAGGTCAAAATTTAAGACTCCCAGTAATTTTCAAAAATGCTGGGAAAAACAAACAAAACATTAAGTAAAACCTGGAATTTGTACCCATAATCTATTTTGATTTTTGGTGTAACTCTAAAAAGAACAACCTTAGATACATGCAACGTTCACTGTGTATATTAGCACTTTTTATATGCCCTAAAATTTTCAAAATATTTTGTCTCGTGTTTAGCTATTTATGTTCATATGAAATTTTCAATTATTATTAGTTTTTTTTTTTAAATGTATATCGGTTGATCAGTTGTGTAAATCTACAATCATTTTATGAGTGTTTGAATTTAAAATTTTGACAACATTTTTTTAATCTAAAATTTTAAAATTTAACACAAAATTCCTGGCTTACTTTTATCAAAAATAAATTTCTACCAGAAAGTCAAATTTAATTTTTATGAGTGTTTGTAGTTGAAATTATTGCAACATTGGATATTTGTTTGATTTCTCACATTGCAATTTTTTTATTTTGTTGTAATTCAAAAACAAATAACTGTAGATACCTACTTGAAGTTAAGACCATATGAAAATAAATTCATATACTTGATGCAATTTTCAAATTGTTTTGAGCCTTTTACAAAAATTTGTTTCAATTTTTTTAGTTTTTCTTTTTTTTTAAATTTTAATAAAATTTTATTTGTTGGGTGAAAATTGAATACAAACCTTCTGATGTATTTTACAATATCAGCTAAGAGGTCGTTATACCCACATGTGTTGTCTCCGTCTTACAAGAGCGTAACTTATCAAATTTTATGTTCAGCAGATTACGTTTAGCTCTGTCAGTTTAAAAATTAGAGGGATTTCATCTCTTATTGAAATTAATGGTAAGATTATTATGAAGGGCTTCTCGTGGGCTTTTTATTATATTTTAATTTTACAGAGAGTTATGAGTATTTTAAGTTGTACAAACAATTTACAATTTTAAAATACTCATAAACTCTGTTTAAAATTAAAATAAAATAAAAAGCCCATGAGAAGTCCTCCATAATAATCTTATCTTTAATTTTTAATAAGAGGTCAATTCACTCTAATTTTTAAGCTAACAGAGCTAAACGTGATCTGCTGAACCTACAATTTGATATGTTACGCTCTTGTAAAACGGAGACATAATATGAGATTATAACGTCCTCTTAACAAATATTAAAAATCATATGTACAATTTTGTTTTATAGGCCTTTAAAGTTCTAATTTTGACAAAATATATAAATTGAAAATGTACAACTTATTTTGTAGTTAATTATTTATAAACTATTCAACTTTTATAGCTAAGGATCAAACAATGAAAACAAAGTTGCACACAAGTAGTTAATTCTGTAACCAAAAAATCTAAAAATTATATGCACAGTTTTTTTTTTTATAGTTATTTTATGTTTAAATTTGGTTTGGAATTACATATTATTAAATAACCAAGAATAATGATTTAAATTATTTTGTTGTAATTTACAAATATTATTTGTGGGTATTTAAAACTTTTAGAGTATAATATTATATTCTATACACACAATTACTTTTCAAATATATTTTTTTTGGAAAAAATGAATTTAACCTCCTACTGTAGTACTAATGCCTAATAGTAAAATAAATTATTTTAATCACAATAACATCATCAAATATTCTGTATTTCTGAGTAATATTTATAGGCTGACAGACTGTCTTCGCTCAGAATCGTTTTTTGTATATAATGGTTTTATATCATTGAATTCTAATTTAGTACTATCCACTACTACGACTACTTGTTATTAAGTAATTTACTGTGGAGCAGTGCAACATCCACTTACCCTCTTTTTTTGAATTTGTACATATTCTTATACACATTCAACTATTTTAGAATTGTATATTATGCACACTACATTTAATGCTAATATGTTACAACTTTTTAATTTGTATGCTTTTGAGTAATATCATTTCAATGATATTATGAAATTATTTAAGAAAAGTATGATATTTAATTTTAAAAATGTCGACTATTAATGCCGCTTTTATAACATCTGCCGGAGTAAATAGTACCTCCTATTCTAAGTGTGTGAGATAAATTAATATAAATAGAGAGTATATTTTATAGATATTAATAATACTATTAGTATAGCATAATTATATTGCTCCTTAACGTTTATTAATGTATACAGAGTATAATAAAATTGCCTTATTACTGAACTTATGAAATTACTCATTAAAATATATTTTTGTTTTTTTACTTTTTAGTTACGTTAATAAATTTGTATCTAAAACTGATATCTTGATGGGTCTAGTGCCTATGTTCCACGGATATGGATTACTGATAATATGTATGTGTTTGTCAATTGGCAGCAAGGTCATAGTTCTTAAATATTTTGATGAAGAGTTGTTTTTAAAATCTATTGAAGTTCAAAAAGTATGTATAACATTTATTAGTTTTAATCAAATTGTCAAATGTATTATTAATTGTTTAATATTCACCAAGATTACAGTTTTATTTGCTGTGCCACCACTGATGATATTTCTTGCTAAACATCCCTTAGTAGACAAATATAATTTATCATGTTTGAATGTTATATATTCTGGTGCAGCTCCATTATCTTTAGACATTGAAAATGAAGTAGTCAATAGGATAGGTAAAAGTAAATCATTAAAAGTATTTCAAGGATATGGAATGACTGAATTATCTATTGTATCAACAATTCCTGACCAAAATGAAGTTGAACATGTTAATGGTTCGGTTGGAAAATTGATATGTGGCATGTCAGGAAAAGTTAGTTGTGTACATAATTAATTAAATTATTTAAAATTGAAATTAACTTATGTTGACTCTCATTATAAATAATTGTAGGTGATCGATTTAAATAATGGAAAATCATTGGGAGTAAATAAAAGTGGTGAATTGTGTTTCAAAGGGCCAATGGTTATGAATGGTTATTATAAGAACCCCGAAGAAACAACCTCAACAATTGATGGCGAAGGATGGCTTCATACGGGGGATGTTGGATACTTTGATAAATATTATAATTTTTTTATTGTGGACAGACTAAAAGAGCTTATAAAATATAAAGGATACCAGGTAAAAATGAATCCTTTAACTTTATTTTATAGTGATTTTGTGTTCATATTATATTTCTTCTTCCTGTAGGTGGCACCTGCAGAGTTAGAATCACTGTTATTAACACATCCCGAAATTGAAGATGTAGCAGTCACTGGACTTCCAAATCTAGAAGCTGGAGAACTTCCGATGGCGTTTGTAGTTAAAGCTCCTAATTCAGCTCTCAATGAGAAAGATGTTGTACAATTTGTTCACAGTTGAGTATACAATTTTGCTATTAAATCTTTGATGTTTAATTAATATAACTTACTTATATTATGTTATGGTTTATCAGAAAATGTTTCAGCACAAAAGCGTCTTAGAGGAGGTGTTCGATTTGTGAATAGTATTCCCAAAAATCCAAGTGGTAAAATATTACGTAGAGTACTTAGAGGCCTAATTAATCAATCAAAATTATAAAAACGAAAACAGTTGTATTTTATAGAAGATAATTATTGTACTATTTAGACTAAGTACAGTTTATTTGGAGAAAATATTGACATTTGTAATGAAAGCTTTATTATTGTATTTGTTTTTAATAAATATGTTTATAATTTATGCAAGGCTAAGCTAGTTAACTCTTTTATTCAAAGCTAACAAATAACATAGTAATTTAATAGAAGTTTACAGTTTGAGATAAATGTGTTTAAACAAAGTTTGAATTTTTGACAATATTATAATATCATCAAAATCAGTCCATACAATATTTTTGGTCAATCATATATTCATATTATGTATTGAAAAAATTTAAATTTCATAATATTCTTAGACCATTCTCTAGACTTCTAGAGGATATGTTAATAAATGTGTGTATTAAAATTATTTGCTAAGTACTTTTATGCTTGAATACTTTATTCAGTGATGATATCTTACAAAATAATTTAATCATATTTATGTATTTGTTTACCTAATGGTCAACAACTATACTAAATTAAAATAACCAAATTCATTATTAGAATATAACCAATATTACCTACACATATTATAATATCAAATATTATTCTATTAAGATGTGATTCAATGGATAATTAAAATATAATAAATTAATAAGTAATAAACTAATAACTATTTATATTATATAATGGTTATTGAGTATACATAGTACATACGTGTATGTGATACTGAGTAAATAGTTACATTTTTCTTTTCCCAATGACGCAGTTACACCTAAACTTTTCTATTTTAAATATATTCTGTGAATATAAAATATTATATCCATTATTATAAATTATTATTCACGACTTAATATATTTATAAATAATATTTGATATTTCTAACCATTATTATCTTTTTATATAATAACTTTTAACAAAATAAAATTTATTTTAAATCTGCGGCTTTAGGAAAAAAATAACTTAACATGACCATAAAATTAATTACCCCTAAGTCAATGCATAACATGAAAAAAAGTGTGTTCTGTAACTAAGATAAAAGAAATTTAACTTTTAGCTTTTTAATTAGTTAATACCTAGTCTTGAATTTATGTACTGGTAAGCATATTAAAATACTATTGATGGAATTATTATTATTAGGGTCTTTTAATAAAATTATATTCAATATTGTTCAAATATTTGAGGCTAAACTAAAGAGAAAATATTGTTAAATTTACTCATAGGTAGTATACTGATGAAAGTGATACACTAAGTTATCTGATGACAACTTTATAAGTGCATAGAGATATAACACAATAAGATAAGTAAAACAATAACAGAGTCACTGTTATAATTAATTTTAAAAGCTTCTGTAAAGGGCGAGTACTTCGTAAATTGTAAGGTTAGGTCATTTGTATTCAATAACTTGTTTTATAATTTAAATATAGTAAGTAATAACCAAATAAAAATCATGCGAGGCCTGAATACCATTGACAAAAAAGCATATTATTAAGGTAACATTTTTTTTACTGGACAGCCTCTTTAATAAAGTTAAAAAAATAGTTATACCAAATACAACTATTGCATTATATACATAGATTAAATAAATAAATACTTAGGACAGTATAGATCATAGAGTAAGAATATAATATAGATGCCATATTTTAACTACTCTATGCAATAGTTTTAACGTACCTATTGAAAAGTAGACCACCCAAATGACCACTACGTTAATATAAAATTATCAAACACAATTATTTTTTTCCAAATCAGTTATTAATAAAATAATTTGATGATAGTAAATTATAACATGTTAAGTAATAATATTCACGAATAAGTAGGTAGGTGCCCAGAAAGTAGACATGTAGACTTGTAGTATTTTGTGGCAGATTGTTTAAATAATATGTTCCCACAATTTATTCTCCTCATAATATGTCCAATCATACAAAATTAATAATACTAGTAATATACTACTGACAAAATGTTTTTATAATATAAAAAACAAAATATAGTAGCATATATTGCAAAAAAACTATCAACTGCACTATTGTGTCAATTAAAATCTATATATATTTTATAGTTACAGAAAAAAAAGGTCTACGATTCCATACTGCACTGTTAATTATTGGTTACATGGTGTGGTGCTTTAAAAATGTAATAATCATTTTCAAAGTTGCTACAATGACTGAGTTCATAAAGAAATAGCGAAAATAAGTAAAATAAGAATTATTTAAAAAAAATGAATATTCCAGTAAAAATATCAGAAAGAATAAAATTATCTTCAGGATTAAAAGTGATATGGTGGATGCCTTGACTATTGTTAAGTAGGCACTCATTTTGAAATACAAATACAGGGCCATATTGAAGTTTTTGCTGCCTCAGGGCTACAACATTTTGACGCCTCAGACTGCTCATTAATTCATGATTAATTGTTCAGTATTTTTATATAATAGCCCAAAATCAAAAATAACTGTTTTATGATTACTAAATATAACTATTATGGAAGGCTGAATAATTGTATTATATTATTATTCTCATAATAAATCGATGATCTTTTGTAAAATTGAATATTTAGATACCCATTCACTATTATGTAATAAAATAATAAAGATATTATTTGTATAACATAGGTACTCCTATGTGGTACAAGGCCCAAGGTATAATTATATGGATTTTTTAATATCCAATTTTGTATTTAGTCAAAAAAGTATCAATATTTTTAAAAAATGTTCACTTCATAAAAAAATATTCCGCTGTTGCAGGTAAATTACATTTATATTATACTATTAAACCAATATTACACAATTGAATTATTTATTATTGAGGGGGTTTCAGTCATTTTCTAAGCGGTTATTTGGTTATCAGGCAAATTATGTGGCAGGCACGTGTGTTAAAATGAACATTAGTGTGTGTGCAATACACATCTCTGCGTATATCAACGTGTTCTCACACTAGCAGGCTTATGACAGTATATTAAATTAGAAAAAAGTATTCGGTTACTTTTTGAGTAGAAACATATCTCGACTGTGACAAAATTCTAAGACTTAGGTTGATGTGATTTTGGGATTTAAATAATGTAAAAATTCTAACATTTTTTAACCTATTGTCTAGAAGTCTAGAGAATGGTTTAACAATTTTTGAAATTTGAATTTCTTCAATACATAATATGATATATGATTGACCAAAAATGTTGTATGGACTGAAGTTGGTGATATTATAATATTGTAAAAAATTCAAACTTTGAAAAAAGTGCTCCTAAGAGTAAGGTTCTCCAGAGGAAATGTAAAGAAATGTTATTATTTTAAAAGGGTTCAAAGATTCAAAGTCACAAAATCTTGTTACAGTGCAAAGAATAATAATAAATACCATTTTTTTTAACTGACTAGTACCATCTTAATATTATATTTTACGCTATACGCCTATGTTAATGTTCTACGTAAACGCGGCGAATGCTTGTGACTTTTATTTTGACCATGCTCTTCCAAACGCAGTGAAATACAAGCTGTTTCGTTTTTCTCGCTATCATAGTTTCACATAGAATACGGTGTAATAGACAAACAATAATTGTGATCCTTTAAACACTAACGAATAACGTTGGAAGTATTTGTGTTTATTTCAGTATTATTATTTAGGTTATTTTATTTTATTACCTACATCGTGGCTCGTACCCATCTATTATTTTATCAATTTACTGGATAACATAGACTATAGGTAGCGTTCGGAACGCTAACTAAAAAAAATAATTAGTTCAAGTTTTCGTTCATGTTTTTTTGAATAAAGGCTTCACGCCGTTGTTCGTTGAAAAAATCAATGAGCTCACTACCTACGTCATTCATTTAATTTTTTTTAAATAATATGATATTTAATATCATTATATAATATAATTAATCAATATATTTTTAACATATACTCGTATGTATTAAATGGTAAATAGATTGAGCTTCTTTAAATGTATTAAAATAGAAACGTCGTTCATGTTTACTTTCAATTTGAAAAAAAACTAGTGACGTTCATGTATCGTTCACCAAATATGGACAACGTTCTTTCCAAATACTGGTTTTGGGTGATCAAACACCTAATATTTTATTCTAAAAAAAAATTATACATTGCCATCAGCCAAGACTCATTAGTTCTACAAAATATTAGATACCCAAATTCAAGTATAAAAATATAATGTAAGCAACTCAACATTAATCACTAAGTGGGAAGTACTTATTGTTTATAATTGAATAGTCATGTTTTTAACTGTAATGTAATATTTTATTTTTCGGTAAAATATATCAGTTCATAAATAATTTATACATAATAAATAATTATAAAAAGACTATGATATATAAATACATAATGGTACTTCAGTCATACTATACTACTACATGTATATTATTTTTTAAAAGTGAGTGTATGAAATAAAATACATAGTGATCATAGGCGGTATTATAGTGTGGAGGGGGGGGAAAGAAGGCAAATTGTGTTAAGTTCCTTGAATCTTAGTTTTCTAACTCTAAAAATGTCTATTTTTATTGTATTTTCAATACAAAATTTGTTGCTGTAACATACACTGGTTCACAAGCATACATAATGAATCGCAGAAAATAAGACCATGGAAAAAGCCCAGAAAAAAAATTAATTATAAATGTGAACACATGTACCTATAACAAAATATAATATATTTTAATGAAAATAATATCATAAATTATTATGACGTGAAATTTTTGTAGAAATGTAGTGTAGAAATACCTAAGATGTTTTTTTACTTATAACTGAACACTATAATATGTATATTATGTATAGATGAGTTCAAATTTATGTTAACATTTTTTTTTCTATTCAAAGTTTTTTTATATACAATTAATAGTGAAACATAAACCATATTCAGACATAAAATTATTTATATTTGAAAATTTTCATTGAATAAATAGGTAAGAAAAAGTTTCTTATTAATTGAGTCTTTGAATATAAAATTGCCTATATTGGCTAAAATAATATATGAATTATTAATTACTAATTAAAAGTAGAGTAAAGGTACATGTCTTCACATTTAAAATTAATTTTTTTTGAGGACTTTTTTCTGCCAACCAAATTAATTGTACTAAATAATTTAGGTGACAATGATCCAGATGATAAAGGACACATGGAGTTATGAGATAATTAAATAAATAAATATATGCTATTTTTTTTAAAAGTAATTATTAAGTACTTGCCTAAAAATATGGACTAATTTAATAATATAAACAGTTAAAATATTTTCTGACCCTCTTTGCTAGAGGGTCTAATACTGCCTATGATAGTGTTTATAAACATAAAGTAACTAAAACCGTTTAATATTGTACTTATTGTTAGACAAATGAGCTACTTAAAACTTATAAAGTAAAAAATCACATATAAAATAGAGAAAATTAAATTTAAACACTATCGAAGATATATAATATAATGGAATAAATCTTGAACATATATCAAAAGACTAAAAACAACTAAGTAGGTGACAGTAGATTTAAACTGATGTTGATTGTTGTCCGTAAGTAATCAAGTCAGACTCAACTTCAAAAGCCGCGGCATCATGATTAATTAAACGATTCACAAATTGAGAATTACGGAATGCAGCAGCTGGTGTTAAAACACCCCTAGACAACATAATATTTTAATATTTAAAAATATATTATTTATAAATAAAACGTTATACCCTTTAGGAATATTAATATGATCTTTTATTATAGTTATTGCTCCCAAGACAACAGCTTTACTAGTAAATCCATAAGCTGGATTTTTAGCATTGACCTATAAATATAAAAAAAAATGCCAAAGATGGGTTTATAAATAAAAATATATAAGTAACTAGTATTAAAAAAAAATTACTTGAACAATAGTTTTTCTTGTAGTGGTATTATCTTTATGTGAAATTTTCTTAAGATTAGCATTAGAATAATTGACAGATGTTGTCCCACGACCAATCAAAGTTAATGACATGCGTCCATTTTCCATTATTTTTTTAGTTGGACCAGTTTTTGTTGCAAGGCCACATGAAAACAATTTTGGAAACTAAAATTTTTTAAATTACACACATAATTGGTTTTACAAAATAATATTATTAATAATCAGTGTTTTTAAGGCATGGGGCAAGAAATTCTAATGAAAGTCAATTTATCTAAAAAATATTATAGTATACACTACATTATTTTAAATGTACTTAATATTAATTGTTATTTATGATATTATACCATACACAATCAACAAAAATAACAATTTATTTGGAATGGTAATACTAAAATAATATACTTAAAGTGTATGTGGAATAACAATGCCTGAGGAGGTTTATTCCTCACTTGCTAGCATCATATGATAGTAATTATAAAGAAAACCCCCTTGAAAGGGTTTTTTCGTTTAAAATAAATTAAAACTTTTTTGAACAAAAGGTAATGTACTCCACATTTGCTGGATAAGCCATAAAAACATCATACCATGTATTTTTTATTTAAAAGCTATTTTGGTGTGGTAAAAATTAACATACGCAATTAATCCAAAAATGTGCAAATTATTTTTACTAAATAAAGTAAAAATAGTAAAAAAAATGTCTAAAATTAGTATTTTTGAAATTAATACAAAAACTAAAAGAGAAAGGGTTATTTGTTTACAACTTAAGCCTTAGTCTTAAGGTATACTAACATATGACACTAGCCTGTCACTTTTTTCTGGGAAACACACATTGATTCAGCATTCACCATTCTAATTGGTACATTTTGAATTGGAACCAAAAATACATTGTTTTCATTACAATTATAAAATGATTATTTTAATAATAGGATATTCATAATGTACAATAGAATTATTATTTTATTATTTTTTATATCTAATATATGAAAACAAAATTATTTTAAAAATAATATATAATGTTTGACCAACTTCTTTTTTTACTAATATCATTATTTATTAGTAATGCAAGTAAAGAAAATTATTCCTTCTAATATTTGAAGTTAAGATATTTGTGATAAGTGAATTAGTGAATTTTATAAAATAACAAATACTTCTTGAGTTGTTAGAAACACTAAAAAAAATTGTGAAAGCTTGATATACAGGCAAGTTTTACTATTTTTTTTACTAATTAATAGGGTTCGGATTTTGTAGCAAATGCTTCTTTTGGGAGGAGTATGATATAAAGATAATTCTTATATATAAATACGTTTTGAATCGTTCCGATTTTAATGAAGTAAACTTTGTTTTCTTTTTTCCACAAAACCTGCTTTTTATTGCTTTTTCCCCTATTTGATTCTTTTTTCTATATTTTTATACATTTTTCTTGAAAATTTTACTTATTTCTATATATATTATACTTGGACTAAATTAATATTACCAGAAATTATAAAACCAGTGAAAAAACAAGTAATTAATGTATGACTGATAAAATAACTATGGTTATTATACCAAAATAGTTTTATCTACAATTATCTATAGTTGTATTTACGACTCAAGGAAAGTGAAAATTATTTGAATTATACCTGCGTATTTTTAAAGCACGTTCCAATACTTTTGTTGACTGGTAAATATCAATCAACAATCAGTGAGGTATAGTGCTCTCTATAATTGTCAAAATGCCAAAAGTTAAAAATTAAAATTATATTAGTACCTATTAGTAAGAGTTTTAATTAAAGTAACGTGATAAATATATGGTATTAAATTCCATTTTTAATATTTAATTTTATGTGTAATTGAAATTTGTTTTTTAGAATTAAATTTGATAAATGCTTTTTTAAGGATTTATTTTGCTACAAAATCCGAGCCCTACTAATTAATAATAAATAGTTATGTTCAATTTGAATTATAAGAAAGATTATGCCTGTCACCACAGTAGCCAACAAAAATAAAAAAAAATGAATTGTTTTGCAAAAATAAAAATAGTTAGAAAAATACAGTTAATACCATTAAAAAGGATAAATATATTAAAATAACTAATCAATAAAAATTGTATTATAGGACCTCATTTTACATACATATTAATAATTGATATTGAAGTAACTTTAATGAATTTATTAAAGTACACACTATTATATTTTGTGTATTTAAGTTATTATGAGTTAAAACCTGAGACTGAATAACTATAATAAGTGGACAATTACCTATGATTATACATTTATTAATAAGTATTAAAGGGACCCAATAAACTATTGAATTAGATACTTATAATTTTTAACCAAGTATATAATATAGACATACAGATATAGTGTAGTGTGTAGACACAAAATAAAAAATGTTTTACACAGCAATTATGCTACAGATGCTTTACCTCCTGTCATAGCTGAATGTAGACATGCAATGGCTACTTTGGCACTTGGTAGTAAGGTACTACCATTATCTTTCTATCACTCTTTAAGTAAAATCACACATCCGGCTGTAAAACTCAATATATAAGAAGGAACAACAACAACAAAATGATATAGAATATAATAGCTACAATTAAATAGATGACAATGAAGAGACAGACAATTATTTTAATAATGAGAACAACAATTTGGAATCAGCTTCTAAATTAAATATATAGAAATAGAATTTCACAAAATAATTGATTTAATGGATTCAAATAATTCTAAATTTAGATCATCTACTTCTTTCATTGAAAATGTTTTATAAAGTTATAAAATATTAGAACACCAAATTTTTGGGAAACCTTTTTATCAACCTGTGGTAAACAAATTTCATTTCGCCAAGGAACAAAATCAAAAATTCATGCTCAACCCACTTCAATAAGTTGGTAAAGACAATGCATAACACGAGGAAGTAAATGGTTAGCTGTTGGTTGTCCTCTATCTGGCAAGAAAGTCAAAAAGGAAAAAGAAAAATACATTTAAAAAAAAACGAAATATGTGAAATCTCATGGAAATTAATAAGTTTTCAATAATATCAGCAACAAGTTTTTCTATTACAGATAAAAATTGATTTCTTGCTTAAATATTATAAAAAAAAATCGAATAGCCTTTAGTATTTTATGTGATAAATTAAAAAAAATCTCTAAAATCTTCAATAAACCTTAATTACTTTACTTATTACGATTGTTGATATTGCAGTATTATTATAATGAATTAATAAAAATATATTGATCAATTACAATTAGTCATTATAATACTACTAATAATAAAAGTATAATCATAGGCAATTGTCCACTTATTAAAGTTATTCAGTCTCAAGTTTTAATGCATAATAACTTAAGTACACAAAATAAAACAGTGTCCACAATAATAAATTCATTCAATTTATTTCAATATAAATTATTAATATGTAAAATGAGGTTCTATAGTACCACTTTTATTGATCAATTATTTTAATATGTTTATTATTCTTAATGGTATTAACTATTAACTGTGGTGATGGACATCATATTTCTTATAATTAAAATTTAACATAATTTTAGGTGTTAATTAATATCACTAGTTAGTAATAAAAATAATAAAACTGGCCTAATCCAATTAATTCAAAGAGAATGGCATTTGATCAAACAATTTTCTAATACTTAAAATTATATTGTTTTCATATATTAGGAACATCAAATTAGAAAATAATAATTCTATTTTGTCATTTATCCTAGTACCATGGTAAATGAAAATAGTATATTTTTTGTTGCAATTCAAAATGGATCAATCAAAATGCTAATGTGTGTTCTTTTTAATAAACCTCTGGGAAACATTTTATAATAATTATGTGCTAAGAAATAAAAAAATCACAATTTATGTGTTTTAAGACCACAGAAATATACTAGGTTCACACTTTCACAGTCACATCACTTTAATATGATTCTACTAATAATTGGATTATCTTACTCGAACAAGGAGAATTCTAATAGGTTCAATTGCAGTCATGATTGACAATAAAACAAACACAAATAAACCAATTATAGCCGAAAACAAATCTCCCATAACCACATAGTTTCGAACTTCAAAATTATAAGGTAAATTATCCTTAGTTTTGGCATGGTGAATTGATCGAGCAACAACAGCTTGATCCGGTTCTGGAAAAGCCAAGCACCATTGTTTGGCATCATTTCGCATACTGATTTGCTGTCTATGCAATATCCTAAAATAAAAAATCTATTAGTTTAAATTAATTATTCAATAATCATTATCATGCAAAGATAACAAAATATTTGTGGCCAGATTGCCATGTTTCCGTGGCAGTGTTTCCAAAGTAGAAACACAAATTCTTTTTATTCTATAAGAATACTTTTAGATAGCTTATATTAACCACCGTAATTGGATTCTTTAAAAGGACGTAATATCTGCATGAGTGGAGTCTCTGTATAACATATGCACAATGAGCAAATTGTACGTTCAGAATAATTTGTTATTCATAGCATTAGAGTGGATTCATTTATCATCAAATTGAATGTTAAAAGTATACAGTCATATTCGCTTACAACATAACATATAAAATTAACCAAATACATTGCTTGGAACCGTTTTACCCAAAATAGTGTTACATACGGCACCGTTATAAGCGAATTTGACTGTATCTAGGGCCCCACTTCATTTTTATATTTATTGATGAGTGAAACCAATATTGTGCTTGGGTGATCAACCAAAACCCAGAAAAAATACATTTTTCATAATTTAGTTTTAAAATATTTTAACACAAATATGTTGTACAATAATAGGTACATACTTGGAAATATTTGGTTCTACTCTAGTTATTCCCATTAACTCATCTAACAGATTTCGGTAGTACAATCTTTGTTTTGCAGTAGCAAAATGCAATATACCACTTATCCAAGTACCCTCATGTATAAGTGCACTCTAAAATACAATCACAATTTTTAATAGGTATTGGAATTAAAAATGCCAATATATTACATTATAGAATTTTTCTTGTAAAAGTGTAAATATTTATCCAATACAATTAAATACTAACCTACACTTTTTTAATTACAAAAAAAATGCAGGTAGGTATAAAATTTTGGTTAATGAAACTAAAAGTTAGTTTTTATATGATTAGATCAACTTAAAAACATAAGGAAAAAATAATATTATTATTTCAAAACATGAGAATATTAGTAAATTATTGGGTTTTATAAATGAAAATAATGTTGACAGTGTATCATAAAAAAACAAATTTACTACTTATTATAATTTAAATAAAAATGTATTACTTACATAAGTTAACATGAATGAACTGCTATAAAGATTCATGTACATGTCAACATTCTTCAATTGACCTGAAAATAAAATATTAATAACTAAGGCAACTACATTATTTTTCCAAAGTGTCTTTAAACTGTAAATATACCACTAAAATTGTTGTATAAAAATTCTACACCAAGGTCAGCCGGTACACTTTCAATACCAAGAGCACTAACAATTATTGAATTGTTTTCTTCAGCTTGTCTATTATACATATATGCCATTTTCTCCATAAACTATAATTACAAATGTGTTACTAAACTGATTACAAACAATTAATAAATATCGAAATAATAATGTATTTTGAGCACAGTTTTATTTATATATTTGTTAATTTTCAACCATACAATATTGCAACAAAAATACTATATACTTGATTCAATAAATATTTAACATGCTTTTAAAATACAATACAATTTATAGATTCTTTAGGATCCCAATACAAAAACAGCAATCAATCTAAATTTGAACAACCTATGTATATTATACCACTTACTAATGATTCATCAGATATATCTACATAATGAGTAGATGTCAAGACACAAGATTTGACTACAACTTCTCCATATATATAAAATGGTCCAATACAATTTATAACCACAGAAGTTGTTTGAGCCATTCTCATTACAGTTTTAATATCTTTTACATCGGCATAAATAATATCAACTTTTTTATCTTCATAACCATCTATATAATATTTGATAAATACATTAAAAATGCTAAACATAAGAAATAATATAATACCCATGGTTATTTCTAATCTATTATGGTCATCATCAATCTTTCTTTAAAAAATAAATTATTTTATATTAAAAAAAAAAAAAGGAAATACAATAAAATGTTATATGCTAGGACATTAAAATAATTGTATTATTGAAGACAGTGCTTAACATCATTTATAGAAACGAAAAACACCATTGTTGTTTTAAAATTTAAGGATTTAAACATATACACAATGGTTTTTAACGTTCCTTAAAAAATGAAAGCTGTTATCAGCAGAACCTAAATTTAATAATTATTTTGCAGTAATTTTTTAGTAAAATGAGGTAACTTACCAAGAGTTTTATACATTTTATCCAGTACGTTTTGTAATTTATCAGTGTTACGCCCAGCAACTGCCCATGTTAAATTGTATGTTTGAGAAAGATGTCCCATTTCCATAACAACTAATTGTCCAGTGAATCCCGAAGCGCCAAAAATGATTATATCGTATTTGCGCTTCGATTTTGTATTAGGGATTGGTTCTTTGGCTGAATTGTAGTCAGCAGTGGTTTCCTGGTCAAGTATTTTACCTTCCATTTTTACTACTTAGTCTTATTCTGATAACCTGTTACAATATAATTTGACGGCATTAGAAATATATTTCAGTAATTGTTGAATATAAAGGTACCATTAAACCGTAAACAAAATATGACAGATAGCTGAAGATATTCAACTACTTCAGTGTGTGGCTAGGTGGTTATTAATAACAAGTGAAATCAACAAATCATATTACCCAAACAGTAGGTAATATATTTTATTTGGACATTTAGTGAATAACAAGAAAACAAGGACCACAAGGTGTTAGTGGGTAGTGGATAGTAGTATAGTACCCTAACTGGATGAACTACATTGAGCCACAACGATCGCAGGAGGGTTGGGAGGAGGTGATTGTCAAGAATTCCATCACCAACAGCACTCAAAAAATTAAATAATATATTTATCTTTACAGAATACGACATATTGAACTTGACGTTCGAAGACATCATTCCCATGTACCCAGTCTTAGTAACCCACGGAGATCGAACGCTTTCGTGCAGTAGCAGAAAAATCCATTAAATGGCGAACGGCGGCAATCGTGTGGTACTCACCTCAGACGCTGTGATACAGTTGACGGTTACCTTGAAAAATGACGACCACAAAAATTAGCGTCCGTGCAGTCGATCCAACACTCGTCAAGGGGAACTATTCAAAAATGAAACGCCAAACGAGAGCGGTACGTTGAAAAATGACAATAAAACAATACTGAAAATCGACAAGTTGTCGACCGAAACTGAGTAGTGCGTACTGCGCGTGTGTTTGACGGCTATGACGCAGGACGCTTGTTCGCGTCTCGCCAACTCCCTTCCCGCTCAGCGTTCACCGACGCCAAACGGCGGCTGTGCGTTGTTTATGTATATGCCGGTTACGAGCATAGCTGTTATCAACAGCATGAACCCAGGTTATCAGCAGTTGTCATTAAACCGCAACAAGTTTGATTTGCCGTAGGAAAATGGCGGGCCTACAAAATCTTATGAGTTCGGTACACGATACGATCGAAGATGTTTAATAGTGGTCCGGATAGGGTCGGGTGTCAAAAATTTGGTTGCATCGTCGGTTTTTACTATGACTGTGAAAGAGCGTTTTCATTGTCACTTTCGTTTTCGTGGAGATACCTAGAGCAAACTATAGTTTACTAAAAATCGTTTTGGATATAATTTTATGTCAAAACTGTTTATCGGTCACACAATTATTGTTTGCTCTCGTCCTGACGAATTAAATTATTCATTAATTTAATTATTTTAATTCGTCATGGATCCTATAAGGCTATAACCAACCGACTTCAACTGTTTAGTGTCTCTAGTATATACATATATATATATATATATATATGTGTTCTTTTGGCGATGAACATACTTCATACTATTATTATTATGTTGTATCAGAAAACCGTTTGCTTTCATTGCCTCCACAAAAACACATATAATACTCAGATTTTGTTTGACGCGACTCTAAAAATCGGCAATATTCCGAAAACCGGTAGAATTAAAATATAATAATAATAATAAAATAGTAATAATGTCCTAATAATAATATATACCTATAATTAAATAATAAGAAATTAAATTGAATTAATAATTTTTCGACACCTGAAATGCGACTTAAAAAACAAATCAACAAAATATATCGATATTGTTTTAATACAGCAACGCGTCCTACGAAAACAATAAAAAAAAAATAATAACAATAATAATAATAATAATAATAATAATAATAACAAATATGGCGGGCATGAATAGCGATAAGCGCTATACTCACTCGTCTGTCGAGTTGTTGCAGTCGCAAACTCGTGGTTTCAGCATGCGTCGGGAGGGTCAGGGTTGCCGCAAGTGGATATACACATTTTACCGCGGTAGAAACCGTCATGGCACGAAGGCCTGGTCCGATGGCCTGGCTGCATCACTGGAAGCGGGCGGGATGATGTTGAAAATGCTCTGGGAGGTTGGAAGTTGGAATATCTACCTCCAATGGGCCATAGAACATATATAGTTAATAACGCTGTTGTAGTGTTGTGTAAATGGGCGCGACGACTGCGTTTTTGTCTTTGTGTCGATCGATTACTAAAAGACGGGAATACAAAAAGGGCTGTTGTTCCGAACAATGGTACTGTAATATCAACATATTATTATTGTATATTTATTATTGTATACTATGTTAAATTAAATTTGAAATCAATGGTCAATAATTGTTTATGATGAAAAACGATTCTAATCGAAGTCTGGTCAGACTGTATAAGCAAGTATATTTTGAATATTTGATGATATAACTACTCATTTATATTGCTATTAAACTAGGCCTTTAAGTTATTTATTTTTCTATTTTTAAGGTACCTAGGTAGGTTAAATTCATTTTTGGTGGAAATGCTACATTCGAAAAATGACTACATTTTTTAGTCTCAGTAAGATAAAGCCTTACCTATAAAAATTGAACATATCGTAAATTTTCATCTACAAATTATTAAAAGGGTCTACCCAAAAATAAGACAACACCATTTTTCAAGACTTAAAGGAATACGAAAAACCTCTGGGGGTATCCGGAGCTACATGGTTTTTCAACGGAATTAAACCAGACAACTCCCTGTTACAACATATTTCCCATACGAGTGGTTGGATTTCTCGTTCTTGAACAGATTACAGATATACTATTCAATTTTTTCTTAATTCATTAAAAATGGCCAAAAACCCATTTTTGACAAATATTGAGTTGTTTTACACTTGCATGGATCATTTCAATTAGAATCCTGAGATTTTGACAAATTTCAATAAATATATATTATGACAAAGTTGATTTTGATATTGTTTAGCTGGCTTATACTTTATACAAACTTACAACGAATCTTTTAGTATCCAGTTTACAATGATTTTCACCAAGCGAAAAACAATTTATTAGCGTATACCGAATATATAATATGCCTATATTATGGTATTTACGCCATTTGTGGTAAAATAATGGTCGATTACAATTTACAATGATAATTAATTTGTACCCATATTAATTACATAAAAAAGTACCAAATATTAAACACGGTCAACCAATACATTTAGTCCAGGGTCAGGGTGACACATTTACAAACTCAAAATTCGTACCCAATGAAACCATTTAGAATTCCTGATAGTTAGTATTAATTTATAGGTGTGAATGGTGTGATATATTCTTTTAGAGGTAGCAAAGCGGAGATCGTAACAGTTGAAGTACGAATGCCCTATGTTTATCATGTAATATGATAAGTGGAGGCGTAAGGACCAATCATATTCCTTGAATATTTGTTGATGATTGACGGGGAACATCTGATACCAAAAACAGGCCCGCAGGCCATGACGCTCGCCAACATGACGCGATAACAATAGTGATTAGTTACAACACTTAACGGTAGTCGGCGATCGGAACGAACGAGTGCCGACAGACCAATACAATGTAAGATGGCCGGTGTTACACACGCATACACATACACACATACACATACACGCATATCACCAACAAGTGACTGACCGTCGTTTTGGTACATGGTGTATTGGTGTTCCTAACGCAGTGATACGTGTTGTAAGTTGTAACGTTTAGTCCGACATATTTGGATTTTCAATCGGTCTCGATCGTTTGTATTTTGTGTCTGTATTGTGCGTCGCCATTTTTTTTTTCAATCATCGTTATCAATCGCTTTGTGTTAATTTTTATTCGACGACGGCGTTTGCGTTTTTTGAACCACATTCGGCTTCAGCCATTTTGTAATAAACAGTCCGACGTTACTGTACTATTTAACTTCAGTACATTTCAGTTTCGTCAACAACAAAATGTCGGAGTATACAAAAGAAAGCTTGAAAAAGCTATACCCTACAATGAATTTTGACGTGCAGCTAACTCTCACCAAGATATCGAAAAACGATATCGAAAAACATACCGGACAGTAAGTATGACTTTCTAAAACGTATCACAGATTACTTTTATCAAATGGCGTAAAAATGGTTTGATACCGAGCACGTTCGCTCTATTATTGATAGTTCCGGTTGTACTATTTTTACACCGATATTGAACGTAAGCATGCGGCAATGTATAAAAAACTATTTTAATACTATTTTTAACCGTAACACTATTGCATATTTGCATTTCATTTTACTCTCGTTCAAATTGTAGGTTCTTAATCGCTCAGAAGTTAAGTACGAGGGAGAACCATTGTTTTCCCAAAAATGTTCCCGGATGTCGTATAGTTAATATTGATTGATTTACCGTTTTAACACTTATCATACTATAAACCAGGGGTATTCAATGTATTTTGTCATGGTACTCAAGCTTCATTCAATAGTTTACGAATAGAGCCGTATCAAAGAACTGGAAACCAAAAATACTCAAAATAACTGTACTTAATATAGAAAAATGAATATTATTTTCATACATAATCTTGGTAATGGGTATTTGAAGTTTTATTTATAAAAAAAAAATGTCTTGTCATAGTGTTATCGCCTGTATTATATCTGTCAATCATCACCGTCGATAAAAAAGGAACCAATACTTTAAGCCCCGTAACATTATTGTTGAGATGCAAAAGCGCTATGATATGAAAAATTTAGAATACCTCTCACAGAAACGTACTAAACTATAAATATTAATTAATTGTTTAAACTTCATTTTTTTTAATTTTATAGATTTAGAAAACAACAAGGAGAGAACATCTCTAATCCAACAAATGATTTTGTGCCTAAAGTATACATAACACAAGATATACAACATGATGCAGTGAAAGATGAAAAAATGTATGTTAATATGAAAAAATCATTTCCCTTACATTACAATTTTTATTTTTATTAATTTAGGACACAAGGAGTACAAGACTATTTAGATGCTGCAATTCATAACAATGTGGATAAGATTATCGACCCGCAGTCCTTAGACAATGAAGGCTTGGATGTTAATGTGTATGTTAATAAATAAATATAAATTTAAGTACTGAGCGGAGCGAAAAATGTATTGATTTGACGCTGACGTCGGTTTTTTTTCAGTTTGTATCGGTGTACACAAAAAATAGTCTAAAAAATTATGAAATCCTCAATAATTATACCTAAGAATTGTAAAATATAAAACAAGGGTTACCATAAAAATTTCATAATGAAATCAAAAAAAATATGAGCACAGTTATTTTTTACATACAATTTAAATTCGAACTTGAACAAAATTACATAATAAACCCAGAATAAAAATATAAAATATTTTGTTGTTATGAAGAGATATTATTTGTGCTTATTTAAGATTTGGAGTATATTTTATACGCACAAAGACAATCACAAATATGATTTTTCAAAATTAGTTTAACCTACTGTAGTTCTAACGCCTAATAGTTAAATGAATTTCCATAACCACTATTATAATGTCAAAAAATAAATTTTGGTGTTAGGACAGTCAGACGTTCTGCGTCTTCGCTTAAAATTTTTTCTCCTTGTACAATGATATTATATCATTCACATCCATTACGGTGACACTAGAGCCACCTAATGTACAGCAAAGTGTAATTTACTTACCCTATTTTTACTCGTACACTACTACCACTACTTTAAAACTTTTATTTTTATTAATTTAGGACACAAGAAGAGGAAGGTTCAGTTACTTCTAATGAAGAGTTGTATAAGATTACTGAGCAGCAGTACTCAGACGATGAAGAAGGCTTGATGGATATCAACGAGTATGTTTATGAATAAGTATAATTTTAAGTTCTGAGCGTTGCGAGAAATGTATTGATTGGACAATGATGTCGGTTTTTATGCTCTCCGTGTCTGTGTACTCAAAGAGTATTCAAAATAATGTTTAAATTTTTTTAAATTCGACATTCCGAGTAGTTTCCAAAAGTGCGGAGATAAACAAAATAAATACTCATTAGAAATGTATGAATTTTCCGCAACATTTTTTCTCGGAACAAAAATCCTTTTAGGTTTGATGTAATTCAAAGGAAATTTACCAATGATGGATGAAATTTTCACCAAATGTTTATTTTATCATTTTATATAAGTACACTATAAAAAGTGTTCAAAATATTTTAAATAACTTTGAAGTATTTATAAACCTATGAGGTTTACCTACATTTTTGTTTTCATTTTTTTGTCCATAAATGTCAATACAATTTATTTTTCGGGGTCGATAATCTCGATTATCAATACAAAGATCCTCATAGACATTTACTATAGCAGTATAAAAAATTATAAGTTGCGTTAAAGTATTTAAAGATTAAATTTCCAAATTATATCGTAGCTTAAAAATTATGAAATGCTCAATATTTATACCTAAGAATCGTAAAATATAAAACAAGGGTTCCCATAAATAGTTCATAGTGAAATCAAAAATATATGAGCACAGTTATTTTATATATACAATTTAAATTCAAATTTGAACAAAATTACATAATACACCCAAAATAAAAATATAAAATATTTTATTGTTATGTAGAGATATTATTTATGCTTATATAAAATTTAGAGTATATTTTATACACACAAAGACAATCACAAATATGATTTTTGATAAATTAGTTTAACCTACTGTAGTTCTAACGCCTAATAGTAAAATGAATTTCCATAACCACTATTATAATGTCATCAATTATACTTGGTGTTAGTACAGTCAGACGTTCTGCGTCTTCGCTTAAAATTTTTTCTTCTTGTACAATGATTTTATATCATTCACTTCAATTTGAACACATCCATTACAGTGACACTAGCCACCATATGTATAGCAAAGTGAAATTTACTTACCCTATTTTTACTCATGCACTACTACCGTTATTTTAAAACTTTTATTTTTATTAATTTAGGACACAAGAAGAGGAAGGTTCAGTTACTTCTAATGAAGAGTTGTATAAGATTACTGAGCAGCAGTACTCAGACGATGAAGAAGGCTCAATGGATGACACTGAGTATGTTTATGAATAAGTATAATTTTAAGTTCTGAGCGTTGCGAGAAATGTATTGATTGGACAATGATGTCGGTTTTTATGCTCTCCGTGTCTGTGTACTCAAAGAGTATTCAAAATAATGTTTAAATTTTTTTAAATTCGACATTCCGAGTAGTTTCCAAAAGTGCGGAGATAAACAAAATAAATAATCATTAAAAAATGTATGAATTTTCCGCAACATTTTTTCTCGGAACAAAAATCCTTTTAGGTTTGATGTAATTCAAAGGAAATTTACCAATGATGGATGAAATTTTCACCAAATGTTTATTTTATCATTTTATATAAGTACACTATAAAAAGTGTTCAAAATATTTTAAATAATTTTGAAGTATTTATAAACCTATGAGGTTTACCTACATTTTTGTTTTCATTTTTTTGTCCATAAATGTCAATACAATTTATTTTTCGGGGTCGATAATCTCGATTATCAATACAAAGATCCTCATAGGCATTTACTATAGCAGTATAAAAAAATTATAAGTTGGGTTAAAGTATTTAAAGATTAAATTTCCAAATTATATCGTAGCTTAAAAATTATATAATGCTCAATATTTATACCTAAGAATCGTAAAATATAAAACAAGGGTCCCCATAAATAGTTCATAGTGAAATCAAAAAAAATATGAGCACAGTTATTTTATATATACAATTTAAATTCAAATTTGAACAAAATTACATAGTTAAACCCAGAATAAAAATATAAAATATTTTATTGTTATGTAGAGATATTATTTATGCTTATATAAAATTTGGAGTATATTTTATACACACAAAGTCAATCACAAATATGATTTTTCATAAATTAGTTTAACCTACTGTAGTTCTAACGCCTAATAGTAAAATGAAGTTCCATAACCACCATCATTATGTCATCAATAGAGTCCGGATTTGTATGAACTCAAAAAGGCCAAAATAGTATGCATTTATGCATCAAAAAACGCACTTGATATGCTCTTATTTTTTTTAAATTTCTTCCATAAATAATAATTCAACAAAATTAGATAAACTTAATTTTTAATTATAGACATTGTCTTTAAACATTTATTAAAGAACAGTAAATATTTAATAAAGAGCAATCCATGTTTTTATTAAAGTTTGAATAATGCTTTGAATTTTCGACATTTTAAAATTTATAAATTGTAATGAAATGAAAATTTTAATTTATAAATTTATGGAACGCGAATTACGAAATGATGCATGGGCACTAGTCCACAATTTACTGGCAATAACATACGGAGAATAACATTTATTTCCCAAAAATATGTAATGAACTAATAATTTCAACAATGAAATTGAAACAAAATAATTGTATTAATAAACTTTTATACAAAATATGCTTGAATATGCAAAAATTTTCAAATATGTAGTCATCTCTAATAAATGCATTTATATGCAAAATTAACTTTTTTCTATGTATTATCTGTCACACAAATCGTCCACATTTCTTACTCCCATCCAAATGCATATACTCATTACAAATATGTAAAGGCATACAAATGCGGACTCTAGTCATCAATTATATTTAGTGATAGGACAGGCAGACGTTCTGCGTCTTCGCTTAAAATTTTTTCTTCTTGTACAATGATTTTATATCATTCACTTCAATTTGAACACATCCATTACGGTGACACTCGCCACCTAATGTACAGCAAAGTGTAATTTACTTACCCTATTTTTACTCGTACACTACTACCGTTACTTTAAAACTTTTATTTTTATTAATTTAGGACACAAGAAGAGGAAGGTTCAGTTACTTCTAATGAAGAGTTGTATAAGATTACTGAGCAGCAGTACTCAGACGATGAAGAAGGCTTGATGGATATCAACGAGTATGTTTATGAATAAGTTTAATTTTAAGTTCTGAGCGTTGCGAGAAATGTATTGATTGGACAATGATGTCGGTTTTTATGCTCTCCGTGTCTGTGTACTCAAAGAGTAGTCAAAATAATGTTTAAATTTTTTTAAATTCGACATTCCGAGTAGTTTCCAAAAGTGCGGAGATAAACAAAATAAATACTCATTAGAAATGTATGAATTTTCCGCAACATTTTTTCTCGGAACAAAAATCCTTTTAGGTTTGATGTAATTCAAAGGAAATTTACCAATGATGGATGAAATTTTCACCAAATGTTTATTTTATCATTTTATATAAGTACACTATAAAAAGTGTTTAAAATATTTTAAATAATTTTGAATTATTTATAAACCTATGAGGTTTACCTACATTTTTGTTTTCATTTTTTTGTCCATAAATGTCAATACAATTTATTTTTCGGGGTCGATAATCTCGATTATCAATACAAAGATCCTCATAGACATTTACTATAGCAGTATAAAAAATTATAAGTTGCGTTAAAGTATTTAAAGATTAAATTTCCAAATTATATCGTAGCTTAAAAATTATGAAATGCTCAATATTTATTTGGGATTATTATACTAAAAGCTCAGCAAGAGCAAAAGAAAACATTTGATCATAGAAGAGTAGCAGCAACAGATTTCTGGATTGATGACCTAGTCGCTATTAAAAGAACACAATTTCTTCCTCTATCCAAGATAAAGGGCAAGTACCTTGGGCCATATCATATCACTGGTAGACATAGTCCGAACCGATATGCAGTGTGGAAGGTGGGCTCAGGTGAAGGACCTGAAAAAACTAGCACGGGAACAGATTATATGAAAAAATGGAAAAGCTGCATAAAATCAGATGAAGATGATGAAGATTCAGTGTCCGAGGTGGACTCTGATTATGATGGGGGTGAATGTGGGATTATTTGTATTATCTATTATCATCAGATTCACTATTGTATTAAGTTGTTACTATTGCTTTGGTTACAATTACACAGTCAGTCAGTGTCGAGTGAACCATGATCGTGATTGCATCGAGTAGATCAAGATGTTAAGTTGATACATTAATACAGAATTCCTTAATATTAGACGTTGTTGTGTCCGTTAATGTTTGTTAATCACCCTTAATCTTAACTTGGAGTTATACAGCATTGTGTGAACTTCTTCATTTGGGGGCCCATCTGGTTGTTGGTTCGTATTAAGACGCATTAACAATTAATATGTCGTGAACTTGTAATACTAGTTACTAACCTCATAATTAATTCCTATTTACCAAGTTGCGTGGTCGTGTTGTGGTATGTCCGGTGCGTGAAGTAAATCGTTTATCGCGCTTCGTATTTTGTGTTTTTGAACTTGCCGGTTAACTTCCTTACAAAATGGCACCCAGGACGCCAAAACACGCAAAGCTAAGTCATATGCAAGAACTAACGAAACTTCTGTTGCCATCGATGAAAATTATACTGTTAATCAGGTTAGAGAATCGATTAAATTTCATGATGTGCGAGAATCTCTTAATGTATTTACCGGTGATGATACTTATTCAATCATTAAATAGATAGAAGATTTGGAAGAAACGAGCGAAGTATGTGGATGGTCTGATGTTGAACTTTTTATATATAGTCAACGTCTATTGTCGGGGACGGCTGTCCTATATCTACTTTCTGAAACTGGTATTAAGTCATGGAATTTATGGAGGGAATGTTTGATGAATGTGTTTTGTAATAATTTAACTTCGACTGATGTGCATAGGCAGCTTACAACCAGAATAAAAAATAATGACGAATCTCATCAGCAGTATTTGTTTAAAATGATGGAAATAGCAAAGCAAGGAGATGTGTCTGAAGATACACTGTTGGATTATGTCATTGCTGGCATTCAGGATAGTGAAGTGAATAAGGCTTTACTTTATGGAGCTACAATAATAAGCAAATTTAAAATAAAGCTACAATTGTATGTTAAGATGAAGTTAAGGATGCTCATCTCTGAGTCAGGAATATCTAAGATTTTTAATGGTGCTGCAAGTAATCATAACGCAGGTAATATAAAATAAAACAAATTTGATGTCAAGTGTTGCGAGCACAATAATTAGATGTTATAGTTGCGGATCTAAAACAAATAAACATAGGGAATGTCCAGACTTGGATTAAGGTTTTAAGTGTTTTGCTTGTAGATCTTTTGGCCACAAATCAACAGAATGCCCTGATAAGGAAACTCAAACAAAGCAAGTGAATAATGATGAAAAACCACAAGTTTATCAAGTGAATGCTGTAAATACTAATGGGCGAATATTTAAAGAAATTAATGTCTTAAGAATCCAGACATTAGCTCTTATAGACACTGGCTTTGAATTTATGCCGACAGTCATTAATTAAAGGTATTGACGCTGTCAATGCAGAAGTTAGTCTTAGTGGACCAGCTGAAACTATGTTTTGTACCAAGAAAAAATTCATCACTGAATTAGAAGTTGATAATGCTTCTTATGCAGTAGAAGTATACTTGGTACCTGATAAAGATATAATGTGTGACTTTATAATAGGTAGATCATTATTCCAAACAAATGCTGAACTGAAAATTAGTCCTGGAGTGATTGAAATCAACAAAATAACTATCGAAACAAATGAGTTTGATGTAGGATCTAGAGAACACTATCCGGTTATAAGGAGTGTAGTAGACAACTATGTACCATGTGCTATAGAAACTACACCTATAAAAACCAAAATTAAAGTCAGTGATGAAGAACCCATCTATCAGCGATCAAGGCGTTTATCACCAAAAGAAAAAGCAGTTGTGGAAAGTCAATTGGAGGAATGGATTAAGGAAGGAATTATCAGACCTAGCTGCTCAGATTATGCTAGCCCAATTGTAATTGTCCCTAAGAAAGATGGTTCATTTCGGGTATGTGTTGACTGTCGTCGATTAAATAATAAAATCATTAAGGATCGTTACCCTTTACCTTTGATAGAAGACCAGCTGGATAAGCTTCAAGGGGCCAGAATATTTTCAACATTAGACCTTAAGAACAGTTTTTTTCATGTGGCTATGGACGAAGAGAGTATTAAATATACATCTTTTATTACACCAGAGGCACAATATGAATTTATGAAAACACCATTTGGATTGTGTATTGCTCCACCTGTATTTCAGCGCTTTATAAACCATGTATTCAAGGATATAATGCGGATGGGATATTTGTTAATATACATGGATGACTTAGTAATTATTTCAAGCACAGTTGAGGAGAATATTGAAAGACTGAAGATAGTATTAAGAACCTCGGCTAACCATGGATGAAAATTAATTGGAAAAAATGTCAATTTCTCAAAAAAGAAATTGATTACCTGGGATATAGAATCAAACACAATGAACTGAGTCCATCACCATTAAAGCTGGCTGCTGTGGTGAAATATCCGAGACTACAGAATGCAAAACATATACAGAGCTTTTTAGGACTGACTGGATATTTTCGAAAATTCATTAAGGACTACGCCTTGATTGCTCATCCATTGAGCGAAATACTCAAAAAGAGTATACCATTCGTAATTGGGCCTCAACAAGAAAATGCGTTTAATATGTTAAAAAAAATAACAGAGGCACCCATATTAGGCGAGCCGTTATCCGATATGCATGACTATCAATAGTGAATTTATAGCACAATTGCAAAAAGCACAACAGAATGATATTGAGGTAAAAACCTTTACTTCAGAAGCAAGGATGAATGGATGTGGTTCATATATTGTAGAAAATTATTTGCTTTATGAAACACAGATGACAGAAAATTACTGGTTATTCCAAAAAGTATGCAAAAAGAGTTAATTCGAAATGCACATAATGTTGGTCATTTTGGCGTAAAAAAAGTTGTTGAACTGTTAGATAGAGAATATTCCATTTCTAATGTTCGTGAAAAGGTGGAATGTTTCATTCAAAATTGTGTACCTTATATTTTGATCAACCAAAACAAGGGAAACAGTAAGGATTCCTTAACACAATTGACAAAGGTGATCTACCATTACATACTTGGCACATTGATTTTTCTAGGACCATTGACAAATACTCCTCGTGGATATAAGCACTGGTTATTATTGATGCATTTACAAAATTCTGTTGGCTCTTTCCAACAAGAAGTACTACATCGAAAGAAGTTGTGGACAAAATGAATATATTACAAGCTACATTTGGTAATCCAACACGGCTGATATCTGACCGTGGTGCTGCATTCACACCAGGAGGGTTCAAAAAATACTGTAGTGATTCACACATATATCATGTGCAGATTACCACAGGAATACCAAGAGGAAATGAACAAGTCGAGAGGTTGAATGATACAACAGCAACAGTAGTAGCAAAATTGACTATTGATGATCCAGGTCAATGGTTTAAGTATGTCTCAAGAGTGCAGATGACGTTAAATTGTTCATGGCAACGATCAATTAATATGACTCCATTTAAATTAACGTTTGGAACTGAAATTAAACATCCAGATCTACTCCCATGCAGTTTAATAAAAGAAGAGTATGCAAAAAGTGTTTTGGATAAAGAGAAGCAGAACGTCAAGAGGCTAAACAATGCATACTAAAAGCTCAGCAAGAGCAAAAGAAAACATTTGATCATAGAAGAGTAGCAGCAACAGATTTCTGGATTGATGACCTAGTCGCTATTAAAAGAACACAATTTCTTCCTCTATCCAAGATAAAGAGCAAGTACCTTGGGCCATATCATATCACTGGTAGACATAGTCCGAACCGAAATGCAGTGTGGAAGGTGGGCTCAGGTGAAGGACCTGAAAAAACTAGCACGGGAACAGATTATATGAAAAAATGGAAAAGCTGCATAAAATCAGATGAAGATGATGAAGAGGCGGACTCTGATTATGATGGGGGTGAATGTGGGATTATTTGTATTATCTATTATCATCAGATTCACTATTGTATTAACTTGTTACTATTGTTAAGGTTACAATTACACAGTCAGTTAGTGTCGAGTGAACCGTGATCATGATTGCACCGAGTAGGTTAAGACGTTCAGTTGTTACAGTAATACAGAATTCTTTAATATTAAACATTGTTGTGTCCGTTAATGTTAGTTAATCACCCTCAACCATAACTCGGAGTTATACAACACTGTATGACCTTCTACATTTATACCTAAGAATCATAAAATATAAAACAAGGGTTCCCATAAATATTTCATAGTGAAATCAAAAAAAAAAGCACAGTTATTTTATATATACAATTTAAATTCAAACTTGAACAAAATTACATAATAAACCCAGAATAAAAATATAAAATATTTTATTGTTATGTAGAGATATTAATATTTGTGTTTATATAAAATTTGGAGTATATTTTATACACACAAAGACAATCACAAATATGATTTTTCATAAATTAGTTTAACTTACTAACTCCTAATAGTAAAATGAATTGCCATAACCACCTTAATAATGTCATCAACTATATTTAGTGATAGGACAGGCAGACTTTCTGCGTCTTCGCTTAAAATTTTTTCTTCTTGTACAATGATTTTATATCATTCACTTCAATTTGAACACATCCATTACGGTGACACTAGCCACCTAATGTACAGCAAAGTGTAATTTACTTACCCTATTTTTACTCGTGCACTACTACCGTTACTTTAAAACTTTTATTTTTATTAATTTAGGACACAAGAAGAGGAAGGTTCAGTTACTTCTAATGAAGAGTTGTATAAGATTACTGAGCAGCAGTACTCAGACGATGAAGAAGGCTTGATGGATATCAACGAGTATGTTTATGAATAAGTATAATTTTAAGTTCTGAGCGTTGCGAGAAATGTATTGATTGGACAATGATGTCGGTTTTTATGCTCTCCGTGTCTGTGTACTCAAAGAGTATTCAAAATAATGTTTAAATTTTTTTAAATTCGACATTCCGAGTAGTTTCCAAAAGTGCGGAGATAAACAAAATAAATACTCATTAGAAATGTATGAATTTTCCGCAACATTTTTTCTCGGAACAAAAATCCTTTTAGGTTTGATGTAATTCAAAGGAAATTTACCAATGATGGATGACATTTTCACCAAATGTTTATTTTATCATTTTATATAAGTACACTATAAAAAGTGTTTAAAATATTTTAAATAATTTTGAATTATTTATAAACCTATGAGGTTTACCTACATTTTTGTTTTCATTTTTTTGTCCATAAATGTCAATACAATTTATTTTTCGGGGTCGATAATCTCAATTATCACTACAAAGATCCTCATAGGCATTTACTATAGCAGTATAAAAAAATTATAAGTTGGGTTAAAGTATTTAAAGATTAAATTTCCAAATTATATCGTAGCTTAAAAATTATATAATGCTCAATATTTATACCTAAGAATCGTAAAATATAAAACAAGGGTTCCCATAAATAGTTCATAGTGAAATCAAAAAAAATATGAGCACAGTTATTTTATATATACAATTTAAATTCAAATTTGAACAAAATTACATAATAAACCCAGAATAAAAATATAAAAAATTTTATTGTTATGTAGAGATATTATTTATGCTTATATAAAATTTGGAGTATATTTTCTACACACAAAGACAATCACAAATATGATTTTTCATAAATTAGTTTAACCTACTGTAGTTCTAACGCCTAATAGTAAAATGAATTTCCATAACCACTATTATAATGTCATCAATTATATTTGGTGTTAGTACAGTCAGGCGTTCTGCGTCTTCGCTTAAAATTTTTTCTTCTTGTACAATGATTTTATATCATTCACTTCAATTTGAACACATCCATTACGGTGACACTAGCCACCTAATGTATAGCAAAATGTAATTTACTTACCCTATTTTTACTCGTGCACTACTACCGTTATTTTAAAACTTTTATTTTTATTAATTTAGGACACAAGAAGAGGAAGGTTCAGTTGCTTCCAATGAAGATATGTATAAGATTACTGAGCAGCAGTACTCAGAAGATGAAGAAGGCTCAATGGATGTCAATGGGTATATTAATGAATAAGTATAATTTTAAGTTATGAGCTTAGCGAAAAGATGGAGACGTATCATTTTTTTTACTTGCACTTCCTTTTCTCTTAATTATTATGTTCTTATGTTTATTGATTTAGAACTCATAAAGGTGAGAATACATATCATCCCTCTAATTTTTTTGTACCTAACAACATAATTTTTAGGCTTGCACTATCTTTACTTTAATATGTTTATTTTGTTTTTATTTAACCTAGGGTACCAAGAAATGTGGAAATCTCTAATCCTGAGTATAACTACAATCAAAACATAAAAATCAAGCAGGAAATAATGGACGATTCCTACAATGCCACATATCCGTACGTTAATGTTGCAGGCTTGTTATATACTTACTTTATCACTGTTATTATTATTTTTTTTTAATGTGTAATTTTCTCATTACTTTCATATCATAAAAAATATACGATATTATAGGTGGTAACTACAGATAAAAATAAAATTACTGCACTTAGATATTTAGATTTATAGATTAACTTTTGTTTGCCAAGGAGAAGTATCAATTTTTTACTTGCACTTCCTTTAATCTTAATTATTATGTTCTTATGTTTATTGATTTAGAACTCATGAAGGTGAGAATACATATCATCCCTCTAATTTTTTTGTACCTCACAATATAATTTTGATGCTTGCACTATCTTTACTTTAAAATGTTTATTTTGTTTTTATTTAACTAGGGTACCAAGAAATGTGGAAATCTCTAATCCTGAGTATAACTACAATCAAAACATAAAAATCAAGCAGGAAATAATGAACGATTCCAACCAAGCCACATATCCGTACGTTAATGTTGCAGGCTTTCTATAACTGTTATTATTATTTTTTTAATGTGCTCTATTTTTCTGACTTCCATCATATCAAAAAAAAATGTTAATTATGATAGGTGATAACTGTAGATAAGACTAAAAGGACTGCGCTAAGATATTTAGTTTTATAGTATTAAAATATTGTGGTATATAATTAGTTTTAATTTTTTTTCGCGCGTTATTGTTACGCAGCCCTGCATGCTGGTTTTATACACAGTTCTTTCCTAATAGTATAAGTTCTATGACTAGAATATTATTTTAATTAATATTCTAGTCTGCATGGTTAGTTATATAATAATTTCACAGTTGATGTAATGATAATATCATGAAATATTTTGAGTATATTATCCCTCTCGTTCAATATCGATTTCATAATCTCTTTCTTAAAGCACAATCAGTAGTAGTATATAACTATTATTGTAGATTTTAAAATCGTTTTTACTATTAATATTATGTTACAAATAATAAACAGTTTAAAAGAAAGGTGAACTTTTAATATCTGTTTTTTTTTATATTTAAAATAAAACATACTTACATTTTTCTGAATATTACTGACTTAATTAAAAATATAACTTACTTTCTTAGTTTTTGATAAAAGTAGCAACCCTGATTCTTAAGAATGAAGTATAAATAAATGTTCTTTTTTACACTATCTTTACTTTAAAATTGTGTTTTCTATTTTCATTTATTTAGATCAGAAAGTATGAACACCTTTGAGGAGGAAGTTCCCTGCCATTCTAACAGAGGAATCAAGCAAGAAGTCATTGATGATTCCTACTATGCCACTTATCCGTATGTCAATGTTGCAGGCTAGCTATACACACACTTCTTATCACTGTTATTACTTTCTATTTTTTAATGTGTTTCCTTTTCCCCATTTCTTTCATTGATTTACTTAAAAACTCATTTCTCACTTTTTCATGAATTAATAGTAATTATTATAGTATTTTTTTAGACTATTTTGTAGGTATTAATGATAAGGTACAATATTATTATTACTAGGACTGGGAATCCGTTTAAAAATATATAAATTTTAGCTACTGTAGAAAACATCAGCTATAACACATTGTTTAAATTAGTTATTAACACAATTTTTAAACATGTTCATCATTTTCTAGTTCTCCTACCTTCTTTTTACCCTGAAAAAATAAATATACAATTAAATAGGTACATTCGTTAAGTTACCATGTGTTTCATAATAACATTGAATACCCAGGTACTGCTAGATATTCTCAAACATAAATCTTCCAGATGATAAAATAACTGCTGATGACATGGCTCATATGAAGTTGGCACCAATGACGTCAGTCGACAAGTTTCTCTAGATACAAAATAACACTGGCCAATAACCGTCAAAGATTTATGTTTAAATGATATAATTGACCAGTGTTGTTTTGTATCTCGAAAAACTTTGTTCCATGTCAACTGACGTCATGGGTGCAAACTTCATGAGTCATGCCATTAGCAGTTAGTTCTTCAGATATTGTATTATCTCAAGATGTTGCTTTTCCTTCCAAAATATTTGAAATATGTTTCATTGTTTTAAATCCCTAATTTTTTTTATTTTTTAGAATGAATGTTAACTAAGTTTTTATTGAATTTTATCCATTCCTATATAAAAATTACTTAAAAACATACAAATGTTAAAAAATGCTCTAAAAAGTAATTAAGTAATAAATGCAAAATAAAAGTTAAATTTTTTAATTCCGTGATGTATGAAATGATCTTTGTGCTTGAAAAGCAGTTTTCTGACATCCTGAAAAAAATGCAATGTGTATTCCAATTTGTTTCCAAATTATTACACTGTTAAAAAATTATAAAGTACAGTTAAGATTCTGAAAATTGCAATAATAGCAATAATAGTCAAGTATTCCATAAAAAACTAGTGCAACAACTGGTTGGAAATGGTATATAATTAGGGAATGGATTTATATGTAATAAAAATACAAAAATGTATACATAAATATGGAAGTATAATTTATTTATAAATTATGTGGGAAAAAATAATTTTTATTTCTGTTTAAGTGCAATGCATTTATTGAAAAAATACATTAAATATAATTATAAAATTGCATTGCATGGAAAGGGGGCCGGAAAGCATATGCAAGGTGACGACTTAAAATATAAATTAAATCAACAATTTACCAATTTATGACTTGTTTTTGTTCACTGCAATATTTCTTGAAGACGTATGAATGATGAAATGATTAGATATGTTTAAAAATATTTACAAATTAGTGATTTATGTAAAAATATTTAATTATACCAAAATAATTTGACATAATTTGACTAAATTGACATAATTTTAATAAGAATACTTTAAATCATTAACATTTCTTATCAAATCTTAAATATCTTGTTCTAATAAAAATTTGTATTTACATATAAATCCATACCCTAGTATAAATATTAGTACCAATTGTTTTAGTAAACTATATATTTTATTTGTATTAATTGTTTAATAAATTATATGTTAAAAATATTTACAGTTTTTTTCGAAATCAATTGAAACACAATGGTTGGTGTAGGTGGTGACCCGTTATTTGCTCTGGTAAATAATATCCCGCGGCAATTAATCAGGGACATTTGAAAAGTATTTAAATAAAACCTTTACCAAAAATATAAATAGTTAAACTATTTATTGATTATTATTTTTTTTTACCTGACGTTTTCAAAACATTTTGAAACAAATTATAATTTTGATGTCTATATATTTTTATTTTATCTTATTTTTATAGTTTCTTCATTTATATTATACTATGCATTAAACAAAAATGAAACAAAAAAAAACTGTACCAAAAGTATCGGGCAAAAGAATAATAAAAAATAATATATAGAATTTTAAAAAGGCTAAGTATAAAAAGTTTTATGAACTTTATATAAGGTGGACTATCCATTGAAATGTTCTTCTATATTATAAATTATTTTCCCCTTATATTTAAGGTTTTTTAAAACTATGAAATTAAAATTATAATTGAATTTTATATTACTTTAACCGGAAATGTTGGTACAAGTTTTTTTTAATCAGATCAATTGTGGCCAGATATTATTTTCCAGACAAAATTATGTGCAACTAGTGTGGTTAAAGGAACCAAACAATTTGCTGTTCACCCAAAATTTGAAACTCAATTGCATAATTAATAAATTATAATAGACAAGTTTTTAATTTAAAAAAAATTTAAGAATTATACTATAACCATTGTTGAAGCAAATGTATAGATAAAATATATATATATGTATGTATACTCACTGCTTATAACGATTATTACTTTTTATTTTTTAATATGCTCCCTTTTTCTCATTTCTTTCACATAAAAATATAATATATAAGTACATAATAAAGTAACAGGAAAGGAATGGACTGTGCTCTCTTAATCCCTATTTATCAATATCAGAATTGTTAATTGACCGAGTGAGATGGATTTAGTTGGATTCAATCATGAAAAAAATAATATACTTCATTCATGCCATGAAATTATTGTAGTGATATAATCATGAAGACGAGAATATTATAGTAATTAATACAAGGTATACAATAATTTAACAGTTGATATATTGATAATATCATGGAACAATTTGAATATTAAATATTTCCTCCATGGTTGCCCCTAACTGTTATTATCTCTTTCATTCAATGTCGGTTTCATGATAGTAACTTAAGTAGATTTTAAAAATGTTTTTTACTATTAATAATGAGTTTTAAAAAAGGTGAACATTTAAAGTCTAGTTTTTTGTATTTTAAATAACAAATACTCACAGTTTTCAAAATATTTCCCACTCAGCTGAAAATAAAACTTAATTTTTTCACTTTTTAACCAAAAAATAAGCATCCCTGATATATCATTTTTATACTTGTGCTGTCTACTTTAACATTTTATTTTTTTAGAATGCAAGAAGCAGGGTGTTCATCTAGCATGCACAGTGATTTTTCTCCAGCAGTGATTAAGCAAGAAGTTTTGGATGACGGTTACAACGAGAGCATTATGTATGTTAATGTTGAAATATAATTTTTATATTTTCACTTTCTTTGCTATAAGTTTTTTTTTTTAATTTGATGATTTAGAACTGAAACAACTTATGATTGTTTCACAACTACAAATGAGTATATATCCAACATGGACCAACCAACTCAAAACATTTCTAACATGCAGGGCTATATTATGTATGTTAATGTTGAAATATATTTATGTTTAGGTACTTGTACTTTCTTTACTAAATAGTTTTTTTTTTATTTTATGGATTTAGGCAGCCAGAAAATTCTCCATTCATGGTCAAACAAGAGATACTTGACGATGGTAACATCGAGATTTTTACGTATGTTAATGTTGAAATACTTTTATTTTATTTTCATTATTTTTACTATTCAAACAAAATAATTTTGGTTTATAATTCGTACTTGGCATTCATTAACAGATTAAATGTAATTTAAGAATTAATAGTACAATTACTATTAATATTCTCTATTTAAACAAGATATTTTCAAACTGTTTTTAATTTGGATACTTCGTCTTATCCATTGATTATTTTGATCTTTGGTATTTTATTTAATAATTAATTTTACTTATAATACTTAAGGGGCCCATGTAATTTTTTGTCTTGATTACTGGGGATTTTCAGTCCCCATATACAATTTGAGTTATTTTCCAAAATAGTCCTTATATTTCCTAAAAAGATATTAAAAATTGCATATAAATTGAGTGTATTTTCAACAAATATCTTAAACTGTAAAAGGCAATAGTAAATGTCAGTTACTCTGCTATTATTGTAAAATCTCCCATAATGTACATAATTTTACCTTCACCCATAAATTATTAAGGAATCTTAGGTATTGTAAAAAATAAAAATAAATATATTTTTAAATCTTACATTCATTATAGTATGAACTAAAATTTAAAATCTTACAGTTTAAAAGTGTAAATATTTTTAATTGTATAATATTATTAAAACTGACTCATCTATATAAATACTTTGAACTTTTTTAATAATAATAAGAAAATATGTTTAAATTACATTTAAAATATTGATTTCTTATAACATTTAGTGGTTCTAGTGTTGCACTGAAACAATTTATTATTTTTAAATACTCAATTTTGGTTGAAAATAAATCATCCTGGCATATAAATGTTTTAAACTTAATCGTTTCTATAAATTAATATTCTGTGTATAATCATAATCTATGGTTGGTATCACTGATTGTACAAATTTCAAAAATATAATTAAGTACATATGTACTTTTAAATGTTTGCTTCGTTTTTTCACAATTTTAATCAGTTTTTTCATAACTTCTGCATGCCTGTAAATAATATATATAATAGCTGATTAAGATATTTCTTACTAAAAAACTATCATTAATGATATTTTGAAATGTTATGGTATGTACAAAAGTCTATAAAAATAACAAAACATCATAACAATTAAAAACCCTTTGTTTGTTAATTTACAAATGTCACACCAACCTACAAACAATTATTCCTATATTCAGATCATTTTTGTGCTGATAGTGTAAAACTTGAGGTATAATAAAAGCAATACCACAGTCTAGTATATTTCTATTAATTCAATTTTATATACTTACTTGCAGGGATGTATTGAAGCCATCGGCGGACCAGGAAGATGAGGGTGGGAATTCATGGTAACAGTTTTCTTTGCATAGTCCTGGCAAACATCTTCATACATTTCTTCAGTGCTTAATGGTTTTTTTTTCTAAAATGTACAAAAAAAATTGTTTTCCAAAAATTAAATAGTAGTTTACCAGTGACCAAGATATAAGAATTTGTACAACCATATTTTTAATAAATTTACTATATTAATATTGTTGAATACTTACTTCATTATAACCATAAATCCACAACCTTGGAGTTTGATAAAATTTATCATATGTTATATGTAAATCATAAGTTCTGGTTTTTAATACTTCATCAATAGACGTGCTTTTTAATTGCTTTCTTTCTTTTTGTGTTGAGTAAACAGTTGCCTTAAAAATAATATTTACAATAAAAATCATAGAAATACCAGTTGAATTAATTTAAAAAATATCTGTTATGAGAACAATTAACATTAATAGTATAAATAGACCTTATATCATTAAATATAGTGACTATCAAATAATACCACTTGAATAAAACTAAAAGATATAGTAGATAGGCATATACAGTTAAGTATGATTATTGAGAAATAAAATATAAAGTTTGCTGATATGATCGATTCATGTGAATAATTATAATATTAACTATTATAAATTACTAGTAATTCATTTTTTGGTTCATGAGCATATTTTATGTTTATTAGTGTATTAAAATCCTATCTCTCACCTGAATTATTTTTTCATCAAAATTTTTTTTTTATATATATACATATAATTTATTTACTTATTCCTTATTTTATTTAATAATTAATATAAATGGTTATTACCAACTTTAAGATAAAATAAATATCATAAGACTAAAATTGAGTGCAAATAACAAATTTAATGCAATAGGTTTTATCAAGTGAAAAAACTAATAGCCAGTTAGTTAATTAAATTTGATCAATAACCAGATACAACGGAATAAAAAATAATTATAAAAACCTTTTAAAATTGATTTGCATTTTTAATAATTGTTTTTATGCTCATATATTTTGATTTTTCTTCTTCTTAACTCATTTCATTCAAGAATAAATTTATCAATAATAAAACCAGAACTAAAAAAATTGAACATTTTGAGAAATCAAAAAAAAACATTCGTGAAAATTGAAGGTGAAAAAGTTACCGAATCATCTTCCAGCAGACCACTTTCTACAAATGCATCCATATCTATTGCTTCGCCTTCATCATCATCATCATCTTCTTCACTACTATTTTTAATATAGAAGTTACAAGTTTTTATAATTTGGCTTTTGTGGGTCACAATGTTGGAAACTTCATTACCTTTGTATTGACCTTCAACATTTTCCTGCATCATAAAACATTTAATATTTTTCATATTGAGATATTCTTTTCAAGCTATACATTATACAATTTATACCTGTCTGTCTTATAGTAAAAAACTAGTCACAAAAATAATTACACAATACAAGTAAATAAGTACAAGGGAAAAATTAAATAAAAAATAATATTTTGAAATATGACAATCTTAATTATAAGTAAATATTACTTTGTGTGATATCTCTGATATTTTTTCTTTCATAGGTAAAATGGAAGAATCAAAATGATGAGTCTCAACCCATCCTTCGTTTCCTTCTTCCAATTCAACAATATTCTCAATAATTTCACTGTTTTCAACCTAAAAATGTATATGTTAACAATACAGTGTGATCCATTTACGAGGGTACACTAATTATTTCAAAAAATGATTAACTTTTTTTGAATTTTTTTTTTAAACTTTTAGATTTATACTTTTTTAAAACTAATATTTTAATTTTTTTCGCCCTTATAATTATTGATGAAGTCAAACTTTTGATTTTCAAACGGGAACATATGAAAAAAAAAGGTCATAAATAATAAAACTATTTTTTCTATAAATGGTCCCATTAAAAATTTTATTTTTCGTTATTTTGCTTGCAAAATAAAGTTCCTTAAAGTTTGGTGGTTTAAGGAGGTGTTATAATCGGTAGTGTTACAAATATCTTGCTATACAAATAACCAGTTTTCTAGTAATCATTTGTTGTAATTAGGTAGGTATTATTAGCCGATATGCTAATTAATGATGTGGGTTCAAAGTACTATAGTTATCACAAGGGCTAGGATTTATATGCAATAACAAATTGTAAAATATGCATTTTATTTACCAAAATATGCAAAAACAAATTTTTATTATTTCTAGATATATATTTTGATCATAATTTATTTATATTACATTAAATATAAGTTTATATAATTATTAATTACACACTACTATGATATTATGTTGTTTCAAATTTTCAAATACGTACGACCGGCGATTTGAACGTAGAATAGATTTGTACTGACTAAAACTCCTTTCCACATCACACGAGGTTATTGGTGCATATTTGAATGAAGCGATTTTCCCTGGAGTTAGATAAATATTAATAATTATCTTCTTCTTCATTTAGAATACTGTTATTAAAATCACTCAAATTGTTAAGTATAAGTGTTAGATTTACGCAAGTACGCAACAAACGTCGTACTATACATACGTCGTTAAACAATGTGTAGGTAGTCCTATCGGTCGTCCGACCAAGATAAGATAAGATATTTATACTATATATTTACAATTCGACGGATAAACCAAAAACTATCCGTATTATGAAATAAAAGCCTTTTAAAATTAATAATAATTTATAAAAATTCAAAATTTAAGTTAAAAAAAATAAAAAAACTCAAAAATCTATAAACATGCAGTTATATGCACTGTGTTCAAAATATGCAAAAAAAAATTGGTTCTATATAAATGAGAATAAGCCAAATCGTGGAAAAATCTGACAATCAATCAATTTGGACTTAAGGAAAAAAACATGCAAATGCATATAAATCCTAGCCTTAGTTATCACTTATTAATTGTTATCTTGGGTTGTGAACGATATCAAATTTATTACTTGTTGCTCGTACTGGTCTTTACAAATGAATAAATAGTATAATCAACACCTCCTTGAACCACCAAACTTTGAGGAACTTTACCTCGCGAACGAAAAAAGGAAAAATAAACATTTTAATGCTAATATTCATAAATAAAATGGTTTTGTTAGTGTATGACTTTTTTATCATATGTCCCCATATGAAAATTAAAAGTTGATGGTGGTTTCGCCATTCAATATAAGGGTGAAAAAAATTAAAATACCACTCAGTGATAGTAAAGCATAAATCTAAAAGTTTAAAAAAAAAAATTCAAAAAAGTTAATACTTGTTGAGATAATTAGTATACCCTCCTCAATAGATCACTCTGTATAATCTATAAATAAATTCAACCAAATTCTTTAGTTACTTGTCGATATCGCCGTAAACAGGGAACATTTCTTGTAATTAGATATTGTTTTTCTTTTGGCAAATAAGATTTAACCTTGCATTCATCACCACAAGCCCATTCCCAAGTTGGACATGTATGCACTAAATGGTCGCCAGCAGTTACAAATTCACTTGGTGTTACTACTCCTGTATCTTTAAATTTTGATTCCTATAGAATAAATATTATTGTCTTTTTATTTTTTATGGTGTATATTGTATCTAATGCATATATTGCAAAAATAGACCTTATTATTTACTATGATAAAATATAAAATTAGCTAAATTATTGTTCTGAAAAAAAATTGACACATTAGTCAATAATTGTCTATATCTACTCTATAAAATATAGTCTATAGCATGTGACAGGTATACCATAGTACTCTGTGTTAAGTTATATTCAATTAGCATGTGTTATGTTTCTAAAAAGAATGATTGTTGGTCTAAAATATTGGAACAAAATTAAGTATAGGACAATTTTTATTTGAAATTAAAAAAATACTCGTGTGATTACCTTTAGAACTGGGGCCAAATGTCCTGCAAATCCCAGTGCAGTTCCTTTAACGGTGTTGATAATATTTTGCATGATTTTAATATGAGTCTTGTAATTCAATTTGTCTCTGTACCCAAGAGTAACGAACGATGGAATGAACCTAATTGCTTTCACCAGTTTCACCTCAGCAAAAACATATAAGAAGAAAAAAACTTATAATTTATTCTACTAAAAAAAAAACCACTTTGTAGGACAAAAAAAACAACGAATTAGAATACAACATTCATGTAGCCTTAGGGCTTGTAGTCCGTGGGTATGTAATATTATTACGAAACCGTCGGTATTTAGTATAGTGATGACAAAAAGTGATATTTTTAAAAACACGTTTAAGCGGACGGACAAACGAGAAAAAAAACATGAAACGAGTTAAAGACCCTGACTAGAATGTTGCAAGGTAAAAAATATGGTGTTCTTTTTTTATCATTGTCGAAAACGACAAAATGTCCAGTTCACACTCTCTCAGAATAATACTACTACTATAAATACTAATATTTAAACTATTATTTTTATTAATTTACCGTTTAATTATATTCCTATTTTTATATTTTATTAATATTAAAAAATATTATATTATTATAGTTATTCTTAAACCGACCTAAGCTGCCTTGTAAGTATTAGCCACTAGATAATTTAATATTATGACATAATATAATTAATTATAATAGACATTTGATTATTCCGAGTATTCGTCGACTTGGTAGGTAGGTACCATAAAATAAGTAGAAATAAAAAATATAGACAACAGTTTAATGATTATCTATGATTTGAGTATTTGACTGTTGACTCTGTTGATGGGAAAATATATAGTTACCTAGTACACAATACGATACAATTATTTTGTCTTGCCGGGCAGTTGACAATATTAATATACGTATCTACTAAATTGAATTCCTGAAAAAAATCACCGGTAAAAAATGTGGCTAAACTTATATTATATGACATCAGAAAGTGCTGCAATGACTAGGTCATATAAGTAATCACTAATTATATAATATATTATTTACTTATTATTTTATATACAATAATATTATAATAATAATTATTATAACCATCGGTATCATGGCATACATTTTTTGTACGTATCCATATGCTGCCCGATGCACATGTCTGCTTTTTGCCGCTGTGGCGCCGCAAGTGGATGAATGCGAAGAATTGCGCCGCAAGACATGTGCACTGCACAATTTGATTACATATTACTTGGGCTCGGATGTTTATGAAATTGTAAATTTTTTTCTACTTATTTAATTGAATGTTAAGGTTAGGTCATTTAATCCATTTTCAAATAATTTCATTTTTATTTTGCATATTTTTGCTTATTTAATAGTTTTGTATTTATTAATTGCACAAGTATTTTGGGATTTATAAGAATATAAATGCATATTTCAGTACAAATTATTTGAACTTTAAAAAAAAAAAACGATTTAAATTAACAAACTATTCAAAGCAACTATACAATCATTAATTTCACAATTTGAATATTTACATTGATAGTAACTACTTACTACAGTCTACTAAGAATTAACGTAAATTATAAATGTTTATTTGGCCGAGGACTGCATTCTTCAAATATTCACCAATAAGTAATAACACCAGTAGATGTAAGACAAAGTTTTTCACTCTACAAAAATTTACTTTCAGATAACAGACGCGGCTACAAGTTTGATCAAATTAATAAAATCATAGTGTCACTACTCAGTCTGCAGTAATGTAATAATGTACTTAATAAAAACGCTATGTAGGTACTTAAAATTAAAAAATGTATTTTAAATTGTATTATATAATAATAAATAAAAATAACTACTACATTAATGCAAACATGATACATATTACAGTATTTTTAAGTGCATAAACAATCCGAGCCATACATACTATAGTTATAACTAAGGGTAGGATTTGTAGGCAATCAAAAATTGTAAAATATGCATTTACATTTTAATAAGATAAACATTAAAATAAAGTTACAAAAAAAACAAAAATGTATTTATTGAAATACATCAGTGATTGTCTGATTGTCTTGAGTGGTCCCTATGGCCTATATACTGATATTTGTTGTATCCGTCTAACAAGTGAGTGATATAGCAAATTATACACTCAGCAGATCACGTTTAGCTCTGTTGGTTTAAAAATTATAGTGATTGACCTCTTATGAAATTTAAAGGTGAGATTATTATCTAGAGCATCTCATAGTCTCTTTATTATATTTTAATTTCAAAGCGAATAATGAGTGTTTTAAAATTGTAAATTGTTTGTACATTTTAAAATACTCATAACTCCCTTAAAAATTAAAATACGATAAAAAAATCTGTAAGATGCCCTAGATACTATTCTTACCTTTAAATTTTATAAGAGGTAAATTCAGTCTAATTTTTAAGCAAACTGAGCTAAACGCGTGATCTGCTGAGCGTAAAATTTGGTACATTACGCACTTGTAAGACGGAGACGACAAATTTTAATGTAGCGTCCCCTTAATATAATATAATTGAGATTAAAAATTAAAAATTCTACAACAAATTGTCGTAATTTTCATTTTTGACTTTCAGCATTTTTAAAATAAAAATCACAATAATTTTACTAAAATCACACTGAAAAATAGTCTAATAAAATAATGGTGTTGCGAGGATGACAACTAAACGATTTGTACTACGTTGAGTAGTTTGTACTATGTAGAATTGTGTGTAATACACAAATACCCGACAAATTATATCTTGGATTTTATATTGACATATAAATATAAATATAAATATAAATACTTTTATTAATTGTGATTATCTGCTAAATTAAAAATGAGGCAACAGTTTTGAACGACGTCTATTTGTGCGTCGTTCATAACCGCACATTTTACACCATTCAGTAACCGCACAAATGTTGTCTATTGTTAAAAATGAAAATTTGGAAGGATGATAATTCAAAACCGCACATCTTTGGTTGACAGTTAAAAATTAAACACTTATTGATATTAAATGAATCGTCATCAAAATAATTTTATATAAAAGATTTTATAATTTTAATATAAACTAAATATTATTTTATTTATAATTAATTCAATAAAATATTGTAAGAAAAAATAATTTGTTTAATGCCACACCGGCATTTTTTGTCTTCGTCTTACAATACTATTATTATCAAGGGCATCTCGGAGGATTTTATTGATATTATTATTTTTAAGTAAGCTATGAGTATAAGTCGCTTTAAAATTTACAAAAAAAATACAGTTTACAAATGGTCATAACTTATTTTTAAATCAATAAAATCGTTCGAGAAGCCCTAGATCAGAGATGGCGAACCTATGACAACATTGTCACAGAGTGACACGCTCACACTTTTTTAGTGATACACACGAATGTGCAAAAGTTTGATAATATTAATGTTTTTAAAAAAAAAATTGAAGGAATATCGAACTAGTTGAGACGCAGGGAAAACAAAATCCAACCAAAATTTTTATTTGACACGCTGCCACGCTGGTACAAAAAGGTTCGCCGCCCCTGCCCCAGATAATATTATTGCCATTAAATTTTAAACAAGGTAAATTCACTCTAATTTTAAAAATTATAGAGTAAAAAGCATTATTGTGAACGTAAAATTGTTTTGCAATATTTGCCATATTAGTAAGACGGATACAACAAATGTCCGCGTGAAAAAAAAACTAATGTTTAGATTGGAATAAATCTGTAGAAAGTTTTATTTATTATATTTATTTTTATTATTTTGTAATTTTGATTTAATATGATTAACTGATGCGCGGTTCTAAACAATTATATGTGGTTTTAGATAAACGTGTGCATTATTGTTAACCAATACGTATCAGTGTGTGCAGTACCTATTGAAAGGTATAATTTTGGGAAAACTGTGCGGAATTGATACATAAAAGTGTACAGTTTTGAACGACTACCTGTTTTTGTAAGTGTGCGGTTATGACGATCACCTGTTTATTTTCCATCCGATAATTAGAACGACAACAAATTTTGTTAAATAATGTATAAGCTACGGAATATTTTGTTTTTATAACTTGTAGTATACTATACATATAGTAGGTATACGACGTCCGTATAAAACGGAATTGTCCCGTTGACCGTTGTCCCCGCGAAAATTATACGCGATGCATTTTATCCAATTTTTCAAGTCTGTGCTCTAAGAAATCTTTTTTCTTACAGTTGATTAAAAAATTTTGAGATTTATTTTTTAAGAAAATCGTTTAATTTTCAATATATTTGTGTGACAATATTAAAAATAAATAGAATGTAGGTACGTTTCAGTAGCATTTTTAGATTGTTTTTTGACCGATTTGGTTGTTATTTAAATTTATATAATGCATTAAAATTTAATTACCTATTGAAATTTCATTAGTATCAATTTGTATTTATTAAAACACTATATAACACATTAATTTATAGCATTAAACAACAAGGAAAATATTTGTTCATAATATAAAGAATATAAGTTTCAGTCTTTGAAATCCTACAATTAACAAATAAAATAAGAGTAAGTAAATTAGTAAGTAAGTAAGTAGTAAGTAATATTTTTTATATCTAAATGAAATTATAATTGTAATATTATCACTTTTGCTCTATAATTTAAATAATCTGCATAGACGAATTGTGACTTGTGAAGTGACTTTGAAATTATAATCATACTTTTACAGTCTTGAAGTCAATGACGTTATGTCGTTAATTATATGCAGGTGGAAAGCATTATCATATCATGTGAATTATTATTGCACATTATAATGTGTATTGATGTACTTTAAAGCCTTACTAAAATCATAAGGATAGTTATCTGCTATTATACTAAATATCATCAAAAATAAAAAGTTTAAGATAATAAGTAAATGGCAAAAGCTTGACGTTTGTTACGGAATTGAATTTACATATTATGAAATCACCACACATATTGTTTTGATAGTAGGTAGTTTGAAATTAAATATTTTCTTAACAATATAATATAAATAATAAAAAATATAATTTTTTTAAGCCATTTAAAGTAAATTAAAATATTAAAGTACGTATATTTATGAAAATACTTACTTACCAAACACATTTGATGATTTTCTTCAATGGAATAGCAATATACTGCATGTCTGCATAAGAATGTTTAAAAATAATGCACGTCAATTTTGTTTAGAGATAACAATAATACCTCAGCAATGAATAAAAGAATATTATTAAGCAAGAATGTATGCATAATCATAACAAAAATCAGATTGTAGATTGAAACTTACTAAAATAATAAGAATACAACAGTAGGCGGAAAAAAAGCCCACAGAAATAAGCCCAGAAAAAAAACTAACCGTTAAAAGTCCACGCGAGTGACATACAATTGTACTATTTTATATTTTAAAAATATTTGCTCAATTATAGTTCGAAAAAGCATACCTATAATACAATAATATTTTTAATAGTACATAATATAGATAACAGAATATGATCATAAAATAATAATAACTAATGGCCTACTGGCCTAGTAACTAATGTTACTAAGATTAATAAAAACAAAAATAGTAGGTTCATTGGCGTGTATCCATTCTCCTTGTTAATCTTGAGCAACAAACTAATATTAAACAGGTATTAGGTACCTGTTTTGAATTGATTTATTATATTATTCTTTTTATAGTTGTATAATTTTTGTATACATGTAGTATAGGTATACCTAAGAGCTAAGACTGATGTTTTTTGATTGTAGGTAACACAATATTATATTATTAACTTCTTAATGACTCAATACAACACAATTTACAAATATAAATTGTAACTTATAACACAATATATTTATATATTATGTATACATGCATTCATATTTAATTATTTATATTTAAATTTTTTTTGGTGGGCTTTTTTACGCGATTTGAATACAACATATTAGATACTATTACAATAAATTGACTAAGTAACAATAATAATATGAAAAATTGAAAATCAATAATTAATATTTAATAAATAAATTCGAAAATTTGAAAAACCCAAAAGTAGTAAGTATTATCTAAGTAATAACTAGTAAGAAAGTAAGTACCAACTCAAAGTTGAAAGTAGATAAAATACAACGGACAACGGTCAACGGTATACGGTAATCGGTATTATGCATTTCGTAAAATTTATGACACACAAAAGTTTTCATTACAATTGCAATGGTTAGGTTAGATTTTAGATTCTATCTTTATTTATGAACTATTATAATAATATCATATTCCTATAGGTATTATATTGCGTAAGCGTACCTAATAACTAATAAAAATATCTGCATACCTACCCGTTCTACTTTCCTTCCCCAATTCGCTAGGTACCTACTGTTGTAGAGTTCTTACCTACTAACACTTATACTAATGCTTAATAATAATTAGTACCTATATTTTATATAATGATAATCTATAATAATAATATAATGAATAGGTAATGACTATTTAATGCATGTACTATAAATTAGTTGCTAGTATAATCGAGGTTAGCTTTGTGAAGTTCCTTGTGTGTAATTTTTATTTTTGGTCACCTTAATAACTGAGACGGAAGTAGATAGTTACTAGGTACAGTCCGTACAGACACCACCGGTAAATAGTAATTCAAGAAGACGATGGATTTAGATTTTTTTTTAAGATTTACTACTCTTTATTATCTATTTTGATCAATCGATTTAGAAATATAAAAAAGGTAACTCAATAAATCAAAAAGGATATTACTTGCTGTTAAGTTTAGTTGATTTTAAAATAATTGTAAACAGTACCTAAACATAAACATAAGTGTTGGACAAAAATTAGTATTAAATTATATATAATTTTATGTTATGTATGTAATACAGTGCACTCGTATGTATAAAAACTGTATAAGCATAATATCCATATTCATTAGGTAATATAAACTATTATCCTTAGCCAGTGGTCGAAATGGCTCAAGATAAGTGGAGGGATGCCTTAAAATTCAGATTTAGGCCTATACGAAAAATAAAAAGTTTTCTTATACATAGGTATAAATATAAAAATCATAATAATTATTTCATTTTAAAACACAAGTCTTAGGAGGAATGCGTTATTCTAGACAAAATAAGTAGAGGATGAAAAATGTAAATACGAAAAAGTAGAGGGATGTCACCCGCACTTCGACCACTGTCCTTATAGCACATAATGTTGAACAACTAGGAAACTACTCTTCAAAATTTTGATTTCGATACATCAAGATTCTCAAAACAATTGTCCTTTAATTTATAGTAAAAGAAACTCCTCTTTAAATTAATTTTACTTAAAACATTAATTCGTATCGCCACAGAACACTTCTTAAGTGATACAAAAAATCTCAAGAATTTTAAAAAATGGACTTTAAGTATATTTAAAGATTCCAAAAATCGGTTTCGAATAACTGCGTTATTAAAGAAAAAAAGGGTGAGCGTGGTTGGAAATCTCATAGTCATGCATATTTGTGTTAGTCATAACCTCTTGAGATGGAAATTATATGATTGAGTAGATAGGTAGATATTTAATCAATTTCCAACAAGAGACTTGCCCGGTCGCCTCATTAGATTGAGTGGCTATGGTGCAAAATAAAAACGATTAATTCAAAAATAGTATATCATATTCTTCTTTAATAGTACAATCTTGTGCAAATGATATCGGATTCTATTTACCCAATCTTAATTATGCAGAAAACTGAAAATGAATGAAATCCGAAATATTATTAAAGAAGAGAGATATATCCATAGCCAATGCCCCAAAGGTATTTATAATTATAAAAAGGTTTTTAATTTCACATTCTCCAAAAATGTTGCCTATTTTGGCCCGTCCAAGACCCGTTATACAAAATTTGGATGTGCTTTTGTCATGTCAATCCAATTTTGATCAATTAATTTTTCTACAGTTGATAATTAGTTTATATTTCTTTAATATTTTTGTATATTCATTATCTTGCTAAGACCGGTATTTTAATAATGTACCGGTCACATCAAATGTCATTAAGCTAAAAGGTTGATAGTTCATTTTAGTTCCTGTTAATTATTATAATTTATAAACACAAACTGAATTCACTAGCAACGTATGAATGATGCATTTGACGAATTATCATTTTGGCATTTTGCATCATTGATAGAATAAACTCAGATAGCACAACTTTTGGTAATTAGCTATATTAAGGTTTAAAAAAAGACACTATTCAAATTATTAAGATATTAATTTTTTTTCCCGAAATGACGAAACGATAATATTCCTAGTACCCAGAGACTTGTTTAATATTTCTTTAAAGTTAATCTATTGCATTAATTAACATTTCATTTTCATTTTAAAAAGTTTTTTTTATCAAAAAAAAGACAGTGATATTTCTTCGAAAAATCACAAAAGTAGTAGGCACGGCTTTAGATATTATCTAAAGCCTTGGTAGTAGGTAATGTTTTGTAGTATAAATTAAAGTATTAAACATTTAAAGAACTATCAAAGTTACCATATGGACTACTGTAATATTAATTATAAATGCATATTATTTATTGTACCTGCCTGCATTATAGAACATAGGATATAGATAGATATATTTACGTTTACGAATTATATTTATGATAATATACAAGTATACAAGTTCAGCGTTAATGATCAAAGTTACGAACAAATTGGATACGAATATCGGAATATTAATATCTCTATATGTATTACTCTATATGTCTCTACTCTCTATGGAATATCCACAACATTCGGACATAACGTCGTCATGTCATTACGATCACCAGCAACCAGAATAATATGGTCTTATCATATCATTGTTTACTTTACATTTTGATAACCGTAATGTATTATCAGTTATTTTTTTACTTTGTTTATTGCTCCAATAGATTACACGGATCTGTGTGATAATCATACTGATTAAATATTTTAATATTTTAATCATTATTTTCTCAAGAATAAAATGATTTAAAATATTTATATTATTGTTTACCTGTCGAATTTTATATAACTTAAACAAATTTACAATTTATGATTGTAATATTTTATTTTAAATCAAATACAAATACTAATTGTATCATTATTTATTTTTTATCTAACGACGTATGAGTAATGTATATGTATGTTATATGCGTATAAATTATATTATAATAAATTATCTAGGTAGGTACCTACTATTTTTATTATTCAACTCTAATGAATTATAATAACAGACTGCCGCCAAATACTCAATAGCTTTTGTTCCTGTAAACAATTTTCGGGAATAAACAAATAGGTGTACAATTTATAGTAATTTTATCGATATATTCAATTAGATGGAAGAACTGCCAGTGATACTAGATCATCTGAAATCTACCGTAGAATGTTTGTCTATGTCCGCTCAAACCAATACTTGGGAAGTATGCGGTGGCTTGGATCGATTACATTCAATTATGATGAATATTTTTAGTCATGGTTGTATAACGATAAATTCAAACGTAAGTAGAAATTTAAGGGCGTGTTTATGTACTATTTAGGTAATTTATTGAAATTATACATTCAATTTTTTGACAATTTAATGTTTTTTCTTTATTATAATACCATTATTAATGATAAATATTTTATAAATTCCTTAAAATCTGTATGAATTTTGAAACTAACAATATTGTATAATAATATATATTTTTGGCCTTTCAATGATAAATTATTTTATTAGTTATAGGTAGGTGGATGTGGTATTCTTTATTTGAGGCGTATTAAACTATGTAATATACCTGGGCAGAATGGGGAATTTATCTCAAAATAACAAAAATGTCTGTATTTTTTTAATTTTCACTTTACCATGATTTAACTTAAAAAATATAAGAAACATATTTTATGCCGGGAAGCACTGACAATCGCTAAACAACTACCTAATTTATTAATCTATATTCTATTGTGAGCTAATTGTCTCTTTAAAAATGATTTGGCCCTTGCTTTTTTAAATTTTAGTCAACTATTAAATTAATTAATTTTATTATGCAATGCAGCATTAGCTTACTTATGAAAATAAAGACAAATTATACTTAAGTATGTATAATAAACATAATTTTTCCAACTTTAGAACTTCCTAACCTAACCTCTGAGATATAACTGTGTTAGTAGTTATACATTAATGAATATATTTATCTTTTCATGTAGTTAGGGGATGCCCTCTGAGGATTAGCTTTGTAGATTTAAAATACTTTTACTGTTCATAATAGCTGTGATGATTATGACCTCCCGTTTATCTTCGTATCATTTATTTACATTTTTAGGATAAGGTAATTAATTGTTTTGACTAGTCACTAATATAATACTTTCTGATATAAATTTTAACTTAATTCATTTATTAGTTTTATTACATTTAAATAAGGCTATGGATATGTAAGAAATGTTACTTTCCCCTTCCGCTTGTTATAGCCTGTGGGGCATAGTTTTTTTTATTTTCTACCAAGTTCTAACCATCAAACTATTAAAATTAAAATTTTTTGTGAAATTGTTAAATAATTTCTAGATATAAATTGACACATTGTATTTTTGTTCTTACATGATTACAGTTTAGATTTAGTGTTTTCCTCTATATTTTGGCTAAAAATTATTACATCAAAGTACTTATGTAAACAGTAGACTGTGTTGTAAATAAGTAGGTTCCCTGTTAGTTATGTTTTAAGAAGATCCATGTCTAGATTTAGATTTATTTATATAAAAATACTTAAACTAAGGCAATAAAGATGATTTTGTTTAAACTTGCAACAATGTTCAACAATATTTTTTTAAAGGCTGAAGATGTTGTTTGGAATTTTATTCAAGGAATCAATTGGTTGCACCCAACAATAGCATCATTATGCACATCGTCTAGAAATACATGCCCTAAAAATGAACATTTGGATAAATCATCATTATGGATATATAAAAGGTATGTCATAACACATAAGTCAATTATTCATTCACTACCTAATTAACAGGGTACCTCACAATTTCGTACAATGTACCTTTTTGAGAGCACAATTGCGTACGTTAAACCATTAACTTAAATATTTACCTCAAAAATCAAATGATTGCATATGATTTGCTGTGCAACGTTGCCAAATTTATGTTTTTATCTGTGATCAGTAAAATTTAAAATTTGAAAAAATGAATTAACTTATGGTATCACTTAAAAACTAAATTTTTCACAAACATGTTATAATATAGTATACAAAATAAAATAATTAAAAATAATATAATAAAAAGTGTTTATACCTTGGTATCACTTAAATAACAAATTTTTGACAATTATGCTATAATATTTTTACGAATTTTGTACTTGTTATATTCTTTCGTGGCTTCTTTTATACAAATTAAATCAGCATTTTCCATTTATTTAATCTGACCTCTAAATACTGAATGCATTTTTGTAGATGTTTCCTCTTGCGTTTCTTTTAAAATATTTGTAACTACATAGACAGAAGGATGGGAGGAATGAAATTGAGACTTGTAAGTTCGATGAAAACTTTATTTGCTGGGCATTTTCGGATGGCTCTTGTGCCAAATTTTCGGTGGAAATAAACAACCATTCTCCACGTATGTATTTAAAATGTAGTCAGAAAACAAACATCCAATATTTAAATGGGGGCAAATTGATATGAGTTCACCAAGCTCATTTTGGATATCTTGTAAAGGTAAAAATAGTAATCCAAAATAGTTTAAAGCAAATGGCAACAGTGCTTCAAAGTTGCAGAAAAAAATTGTACACAATCGTGATCATTAAATGTTCATGATTGCGTGTATCAATCAAGACTACGCAATCATGTTTTACCGAGTTAACAAATAAAATGTAATAAGCACAAATTATAAAGTGTTTTGGTAATTTGTTTAAATGTGTTAACTGTTAGCTTGAAGTGTAGATTTTCAACACCATCTGATTGATTGATACTTTATAGCACTTATTCATTAATAGTTTGGTATAAAGTACCTATTATCATACTTATTATGTCTTTACTGACATATTTTTGTAGGTATCTACACATTTCTGGTTAAATAATATTTGAATATTTTGAAATCTATTGCCCGTTTACCCTAGACAATTTTCAATGGAAGTTAAATTAAAATTCTGATCATTATTATTTTGTTGAGCATGAGAGTCATTTTATACATTAAAAATTGTTAGGTTGGGAATGCCCCTTTGCACTCCCCCCCCCCCCCCCCCCCCCCCNCCCCCCCCCCCCCCCCCCCAGGAACACAGCTAACGTTTACAAATGAAATTGTTTACCTTTTAATAGTTCATCACTATTCAATTTTAAAATTTCAATTCACAATTTTTAGCATTAACTGTAATTGTTTTACATTACAATTAAAATATGAATATAAGTGCCTCTATAACAATTCAATAAATAGTTCATATTTTGTACATAGTAAAAATGAATTCAGATTAGTCAGACTAATATATTAATCAGAAAAAAAGTTTTGTTACATCTACATAATAAACAATAACTATTAACTAATAGTACTAACTAGTAGTATAAAATAAAAGTAAATACTTATAATGGATTGTCTATTGCCTGTACAAAATTAAAATTATCCAAATTAATTAATTTTCTATCTTGTGACACAAGAAGTACATTATTCATTGGTTTTTTTTTTTTTGCTGATCAAATAAGTTAGTAATTTTTTAAAAATTTTGTTTATTAGATTTAGACATATTATTTATAGTTTTTAATACTAAATAGTCATCATAATGAGTTGCTCAAACATACCCATAATAGTTTATCACATGTGACAAAATTAATAATAATATCATCACTGACCAAAATAAATGTATTAATAGACTTGTAGTATTACCGTTCTTTCTTAATTGAACTCACGTAAGTATTTGTCAGTATTAAATTACGACAGACAACTGTTTTTCAAATAGACATTTAAAATTTACTATATTGGGCATAAATTATAAATAGAGAAAGAATTTTTATGTTTTATTATTTATTATTTATTTGAAAAATCAAAATTATTGAAATTCTCAGGCAGTGCAAATATTCCACCTACTCTCTCCTGCTTCAATGATAAATTAAACCTTTGATGTTGTAATTTTTCAGTCTTGAAAACCATTCACTATCCGAAAAACTTGGATTGTTATTGTCAGACAAAGATCATCTGTACAAATGTTATAAGCCAGAAGCTTTTTTATGTCAAAAGGAGTATAGTGATGCTGCATTATTATGTCTAAGAGTTGTTGAACTGAATCAACCGTCTTTATTACTGGAAATCAATCCTAAATTAGTAAGCCATTTTTAATTGACTATTTAACTATTGTTGATGATATATTATTTTTAAATGTTTTTTAGTACTTAAATTATTCATCTAAACTTGAACATTGTACAACCTTGCCAAAATCGTTATATAAGCAGACACATAGTAAATATTTCAAACAATTGGGTTCATTGACAAATCTCTTGAAGTATAAATCATCTGAAAACATCAATGAACATAATATAAATACTGGAAATAATAATGTACTACCTAAGCACAAAATTAAACATTTGTGTAAAAGACAATGCTATAGAAGTTGGCCAGATATTTATAATAAGACATTTGATCAATCAAAATTCAGACGGTCATTAAGTTTTGACACAATGCAAACATCTGACTACTCATTAGATTGTACCATCCAGGCTGCAACAATAGAAAATACATCTCAGGTTTTGTTACCAAAGTTATTAGATGTTAATTATGAACAGCTTCTACGTGATAACGATGATTCAAATAAACATCTATTATTGAATAGTGATTTGCCCAAACGAAATAAACGACGGTCAAAGTTGTTTACACTCCCATTGAAAATATTAGAAGAATCTGACGATGACACCCGAAGTAATATTTCTGATGGATCCAGAACTTTGATACCTTATGATGAATTTCCGCCTTCAAAGTATGTAGGCACATTCGGATTAGTATCTTCATATTTTCCCGATCAAGATTTGTTCAAGTTCTTATCTTCTGGACAGTTTCTTCAAGCCAATGCTGAACTTGATCGTGAAAATGCTCATTTCAAAATTTCTGAAGCAATTATTGGCACTATTGAACAAGTTAGTATTTTACTGTAACCATTGTTTTTGCTATATCTACCATGTGGTTCAGTTAATATAATAAATAATAATTTAATAAATGCTGACAATCTCAAAACGAAAAAAGCTTCGAACTGTTTAATTTATTTTGGATAAAAATAATTTTGAATTTGTTATAATATCTACACACCATAGTGTCATACACGTAGAAACTTATTTTGCATTTGTTGTTGCCATTAATTACGAATGTATAAATTTCTGTTTGATGTTACGTTAACTCCAAAAAACAATAGGTAATTACTAAATGGATGAATTTATATTAAATAATATTTTCATATCATGTTTTCACAATATTGATCGATTGCTAAATGTTGAACTTACAAATTTAATTTTTCCTACTTTTCTGTTCAGAATTACATTTTTCCCACAAGGACCAAAATATTAATTACATTAGCTTTTATAAATAACCAGTTCACAAAAAAAAAATTATCTTCAGCAGTCAAGTAATTGGATTTTAACCGCATGTGTAAAATATAATATAGTACGGAATGAACACTAAAATACTTGTATCTGTACTTACTATATGCACTTTGTAAACAATTATTTTTGTCACAACAACGACATCAATTTTTTTGTCCGCGGCAAGTGCTTGACGGTCGTAGCGGCATCGGTCTGGCCAGGGAATTCGGGCAAAATGTCTCCTGCTCACCGAAAACAGCCGGCCGTCAGGAGAGAGAAAGAAACCTACTCACGCAATACGCATCCTCGACATCACAGTGTGCCGTTTACTTCCATCATACAGCATTCCCTTTATATACAAGGCGATTATTATATCATTGAACTGCCATTTTCCCGGTAAATTTATGTGTTTATGAAAATATTTTTTTATTTTAAATACAAGACCTTGACTGCAGTAGTCATTGTCTGTTATTGGTGTGTTACATATGGGTTTCTAGTACATTATAGAATAAAACAAATAAGTAAGTGCAATTAAAAATAAAAGTGAATTCAAATGTACATTTTGATTTTATTCTGGTTATATGGTTTTGTATAAATTGGTGTCTTTGATAAATATCAGTAGGTTATAGATGTTAAGAGGTTTATTGTTGAATCATTCATAGAGGTTATTTGGGATGTTATATTTTGATTCTTCTTCATAAAATTAACGTCATTCTAATAGTAGTTGATTTATGGAGATTTCAGAGCTGGAAGAAGTGCATGTTTTGGGCTCTGTTTTATCCATAAAATGTTTATGGGTATGCTATACATTAAATATTTTTTTATTTCTTATAATATAGTCATAACAACACAACTATTTAAATTATATTTTTATCCTTATACCTAAATGTTATGATATTTTAAATTGTTTACCCTTTTAAATGACAACATATATTTTTCATTGTACTTTTGTACCAGTAGTTAATTAGTTTGAATAAATATTTAAAGCAGTATAAGTATAGTGTATCAACTATCGAGATTCAATGTATTGTGTATCACCATCACTCCATTCGGCTCATCTAAAAATTAAATGTTAATTTATTAACTTGCACTTGTTCAACATTCTTTAATTGTCAGAAAAATATTCTACTTACTGTGTGGGATGTAATAAAATTATAGTTATGTTAAAAAATAATATTATATGTGTATATATTTTTATAAAGCTGTGTAATGCTTTAAATTATGTACAAAAAAATAATTTCAAAAACACATAAACTAAAAATTACATTAGGAAAATGACTTTTTAGTGATAAAATAATTTTCCTATATATATAATCTTCACGTATGTGTATAATGCATATACACCCTTTATGTATGTATAAATATATACACACACACGGTAGACTCCTTAAAGTGCCCTACAGATGTATAATGAAAGACATAATAATGATGACATAATGTAAGACATCAAAATATTAATATTTTTTTTTTTTTTTTGAATGATCTAAAACGTTTATTCATGTACATTATATTCTAACTATTATACCTGCATGACTGTTTTATTTTATGTCGTCCATTTGCTTAAGTATTTACTTTTTAACCCCTGCGGTCATATACCTAATATTTTTTCTTTTCATTAGAAAATCGTACTTCACCGGGATCGACGCGCCCCGAGTACCTACTGTTTTCTGATCATATAGTACCTATCTATTTTATTTTATTTTGTTTTTTATTTTAAATTTCCCATACATTATTGTTTGCTTACATCAGTTAAGACATTTATTTTAATCACGACGGTTTTGTTGTCAATTAACACTGTTATTTCATGCATGCACGTGTATGTTCGATCATTTCAGATCAAATGCAATCAAAAATTGAAATTCACCGACGAAGTGATCGACGAGAGCGACGAAGAGATAAACCGGTTAAAACAAAAAATCCGTTGTCGTCGCAGACAAAAGCTGCAGATCGAACAGACCCCGAAGGCCGGCACGTCGTCTTCCGATTGCTTGACTGAATGTAAGTTAACTGTAGTACTTTAATATGGGTAGCGAAACCTTCGGTCTATTTGACAGATTTATTTGTCTGGTTGAAGCTTTTACTATTTAATATTTAATATAAGTTCTCTATGTAGGTAATCTTATTTAAGTCAAAAGTTAAAGTGTAAGTTTCAGACAATTGTTAGTACTTAGTAGGTTTATACAATATACTATGATTTGATGTGATGTTAAACACTTATATGTTGTATGTATAATTATAGTAATATATTATAGTATTATACACAGTTCGACAGTCACATAGAGTAGTACTGTAAGAGGATACGTATATTACAATTTACAATTTTTATTTGTAAATGTATAAATGATAGGTTGGCATGAATACAATTTTATACTCAGAGATTTTTTCGTTTTATTTTTACATAAATGTTTTATTTTACATTAAATTTAATGGTGTTTTCAAAATTTCAAATGTATACTCCTGAGTCATTATGACGAGAACACAACAAAAATATAAAATAGGCTTACTAATGCATTTGTTCCATTTTTTTTTTGACAAATTAAAGCTTTTTGTTAGGGTTTTAATTATAATTAATACATTTTTAAAAACAATTACTAAAAATTGTGATAATATATAATATTCTGTAAAAAAACAAGTATGGTTTATACTATACATTATGTTAATATATTATAAAAAATGTTAAACCTTTTAAATTTAAAGTAGAAATTAAAAATAAATTAGAAATACTTACTGAAACTTTCTTCGCCCACGAAAAATGCGATTTTCAGATTTTCGGATTTTCCTTTTTTGTTTTTGATTTAAATCAAAGTTAAATTCTACAGTATTTGTATAAAATAAAAATTAGTTTATGTTCTGTGGCTCCCCTAGGATCTCTAAATTATTACGCCATTGATGCATCTATGCGAGTGTAAGCTATCGACACGTCTTCCTCCCTGCATTGTGCATTATAAAGGCGTGTTTTAGATGTATTAATTCTCGCTACATAAATTATCGATGAATCAGATGTTTTTACTCATTTTTTTTTAGCCACGATGAGTTCTCTGACGTCTTCGTACTGCTCAACCACATCCAGTATGTCCACCACGGATGATATGGACGAGTTCGATTTGGACGACGACAGCATCTGTTCGTCGATGTTCTCTGTGTGCAGTTCGTCGGCGGGCTCGTTGTCATACTCGAACGCAGACCGGACGCGATCGGCCAGCGTGTGTTCAACAGTCACGGCAGAAAGTGTCGCACGGTCGTTGATCCGCCAGATCAGCCACAAGAACAACTGGCCCGTCGACGTCAATGTTCAGTGGCTAATATCTGAAAATGACGCCCCGCAACAGGTATGACATGTCGTCATCACTCATCATCTATTGTTACTTCACGTGTTAGGGGAGGCTGTGCTAGAAATTAAGAGTGTTGCTAAGTCAGCTGAGGAAATATTTCTGTGGACCTACCTACATTTTTCGCCTTCTCCAGATAGTTGATGTTAATTTATAAATATTAATTATAATTATAATAATTAATAATTTTAAAGTATCCAGAACTAATAGAACTCAAATCCTAATGTCCAAAACTTAACACCCATTCTTACCCAACTCAACATAAACCATCATAGGATTGCCACTACTGGCACTTGAAATAACATAAAATTAGCGGGGACTGAAATTTATTGGATATTCAATTAAACATCATGAGCATTAAATGTGTTTGAACATTGCAGATTTTGCCTCTACCGTCGAGCTGGCCCGTCAACCCGCTTGATGACACCGATGATCGTCCAGAGGCTTCGTCTCGGTTGCGAGGCACTAGTGATTGGGCGCCACCACGACCGCAAATTATATTCACTAGTCATCCGTCGCCAATGTAAGCAGGGTTGGTTTTAAGGGAGGGGGGATATGCCCAGGGATGACAAAAAATATCTCAGATAAAATTAACAAAAAAAAATAATTTTTCTGTATAAAGAAAACATAGGTAAGTCTGAAAAGTTACGTGTTGAAAAAATAACAATGATATTGATAGGTACCTATTTTAGTTTAAAATTGTAATGTTATTCATGTCATCTTATTTGAGTGTGACCCACTGATATTTTACTAAACTTTAAAATTTTAATTGAATGTAATAGTCGGATATTTTATTGTTGCTGTATACATATGTATCGTTCTTTTTCTATTGTATTATTGTGTAATGAGTATGCATTTGATTTTTTATTGGAAGATCATAATTTATTATACTGTGAGTTTATTTAGTTAATTATAATTAGAATCCGGATTAGAAATCAAAATGCATTATTCCGGATTAAGTTCCAGGCTTTTCAAGTACAAAATTCATTTCAAATATCAGAGATTCAGAGAATTGAGTATTTAAACTTATGTTTAGCATTTTTTATGATTTCAGTTAATTTTGTTAATTGTTAGTGCATATTAATACATTATAATATGCATGTTTAGATTCATTTTAATTAGTAATTCAAAACATTAGCTCAAAACATTTTTTTCCGACCATTCATCATTTGTCGACTGTTCTACTTATGATTTCTATATGTCGATATGAAGTCTTTATCTATCTATAGTGCCACTATGCTGTTGTATGTCCAGGACTCTAACCATTAACAAACTAACAACTAATTTGTCATTTGAAATTACATCGTAATCGCTTTTATTTTGTTAAGTTCGTATTTTTGTTTTTTCAAGAGGTGTTGCAAAAATGCTTAGGTAAAATTTTTTAAGAACATTATTCCAGTTTTTTTATGACATGTTTTAGCATTTTTGGATATTTTTTATGCCATTTATATCTGGGATCTAATTATAGTATAGGGATCAGAAGTTGTTGCAAATTTCAATCGCGTATTGTACCTACCTACTAAAATAACTTTATACCTGAACCTGACTCAAAAACAATTTCTTTTTATAATGTGACATATTGTTTCGCCAACAATTTGTTTGTATGCATGTACCTACAGTCATTATTCTATACCTACTTAATATTATCTTAAGCTTATCGTTTTTTATTTTTACAGTAGGAAAAACATAATGGAACTACAAGGTTATAGATGTGCGGGCTGTAGTATGAAAGTGGCAGTGAAGTACGCTTCGAAGTTCCGTTATTGCTTTTACTTGGGTCGGTATTTTTGCACAGGGTGTCATATTGATAAGACCGCTATCATACCCGGCCGGATAATTGGAAAATGGGATTTTTCAAAGTATGTCACAAGTGCTGTAAAAGCGTCAATGATATTGTATAACATGTACTGTTTTTTCAGGTATCCGGTGTCGTGTTTCTCGTTCACTCTGCTGGAGAAAATGCTATTCGACCCGCTGTTCAATATAACCGATTTGAATAGCGTCCTGTATAAACGTGCCCGAGGCCTAGACAAAGTTCGAACGTACCGGATGCAATTGTATTACATCAAAGATTTCATTTTCTTATGCAGATACGCCGATCGGTTGGTATATGTAAACACTAGCGTATTTTTGCACGTTCTCACTATTATGATTTGTACTTTACTTCTTGTGAAAACAATATATAGTTTTACATTAATACATATTTTGAATAGATTAAAAGAGACATTGGAAACCATGGATGCCCATATAATACTTAAACCAGACTTGTATTCCATCCAAAACTTGGTGGATGTCAAAAATGGAGAGCTCGGTAAAAAACTACAAAACATAATTGTTGCCTGTAATAAGCACATTATCAATTGTCAGGTAAAAAGATAAAGTAAATTTTTTTGTACGATAACTTTATGAACACTCATTACTATTATTTATAGTTGTGCCAAGCAAGAGGGTTTGTTTGTGAAATATGCAACAAGAACAAAATACTTTTTCCTTGGGACTTCAGATTGGTCACGAGGTGTGTAGACTGCGGATCATGTTATCATAAAAAGTGTTACGATTCGAGAAAAGTGCCAATGTGCCCCCGGTGTCCTCGGATCATGGCTATGTTTAAAAGAACAGAAATTCAAAATGATCAGAATACTGCTATACAGTCTTGAACAATGGCAGTGAATTAGTTTCTACTACAACCAACCAAATGTATTAATTGTGTACTTTCTGATAATTGATTTTTTTATTACCTTTTAGTATTTTATTTTTGGTATTTTTTACTCCCATAACTATTTATTGTATTGTAGATTGTAGAACATACATAAACATGATAACAATGGTAATTATTTGTTATGTTTTTTGCCCATTTTTGGCAACAAGAAAAGAAATGAATATCAGATACCCTTTATGGAAATATTATTATTTAATATTTAAATAACCCATTAATAAATAATAATACAATTAACAGATATCCCTCTAATTTTATTGATAATATGGACTCATATAAATTTATAAAAAAATATTATATTTAAGCACTGAAATTTAAGGATATAGACACAAGAAATACTTGGCTGACTATACAAGGTTTTAAAAAGTACTTTTTGTGGTCTAACTAAGGATTAAAATAAACTGAATTAATAATGTTGTATTGTGTCATTGTGTACTATAACAAGTTCTACATACTAATATATATATAAATATATAAACAATAATATATAATAATTATAAATATATATATTAGTCTTAGTAATTAATCATTATAACATTTAACTGTCCTATAAATTAATTATTTTTATTTAATTGCTTACACTTTTACACATGTGATTATTATGTTTAAATTTAAAAAAAAACTGTAAGCTAATAGATCTCAGATGGTGAACCTATGACACGCTTGTTACAGAGTGACACGCTCACACTATTTTAGTGACACACACAAATGTGTTAAAGTTTGATAATATTAAAGTTTTTGAAAAAAAAATTGAAGGGATACGTACTAGTTGACACAAAAGGAAAACAAATTCCAACCAAAATTTTTATTTGACACGCTAGTACAAAAAGGTTCGCCATCTCCGTAATAGATTCTCGATCAAGCTGTTTTGTTTTAAAATCGTATACAACTAAATATAATTCAATTAATTTAACTGTTCATAATATTATATTTGTCAACACATTTATAGTTTGTATTTTGTAAGATTTAAATTGATGATAGCAAGTTGTGATGATTATTTTTAATAAAAAATAGCAATAATTACTTTTGTCTGGGTAAAGGGGTAAATCAAAAACAATACAGGACATAATCAACAAACACTATAAAACTTTTTAAGTTGGGTAAAAACAAATATTGTTATAACTAAATGAAAAAAATCTGAAAAATTATATTGAATTAGTATAGAATATTATGTCCAGTTAATTATGGTCCTATTTAGAATATAGGTATATATTAAATATTAATACTCAAACATTATGTTCCGACTGATATATTTATATATTTTATTTAGTTAAATTATTTTTTACTGTATATTTTTGTATTCTTAAAAATATAGCAATATTTTTTTATATACATATTTTTTAATTAGTGTATCTGACTATTTTTATATTTTTAACTAATAAAATATTATATTTTCAAAAATTATTATGGAAAATAAGAAATTTTATCAAAACATTAATATTGCTAACAAAAAATGTTTTTAGAGATTATTACAAAAGATGAAAACTTTGTATAAAATATGTCAATTACTAAAAACTAAAATTTCAAATTGTATGTAAAAACTAACATATTTTTAAATTTTAGAATTATCTTTAAGAACCTAGTTATGCTTGAAATTTGTCATCAGTTATTTTTTAATACATTGTATCAATAAACATCTGAAAAAATAGTCCTTTTAAGTTTGAAATACTTATTAATGTTAAAAATATATTCTAGCTATTACCTAGCATATTATGTATTAAAATCTATGATAATTTATTATAAACTATTCCTAACTATACATAGTTGTATTTTATGTAATCTCAATAGTAATAAACGAGTGCCAATTCGAATATTGGCACATTTTTATATATATGAATATTGTTGATAAAAAATTATAATTTTATCAACAGTTTTTAGAGGTATACTAATAAAAATTAAATAAATAATTTTTTTCTTTTAAACTGCATTGCCCATTTTATAAAAGGTTTTTTTTAATTGAATAGCGTGAATAATATAATAATATAATAATATAATATTCTTATATAAGTAAATTATTTATTATTTTAAATTTTAACCTAATGAAGTAAATATATCATTCAATTTGTAGATTTGAATTTATGATCTATTACAAGACAATTAGATGGTATGTTGTCAACACTTTCGTGAAACATTCGTCATTACCTACGTACGTTGGTATGCACCACGATTATAAAGAAGTTCTTTATAATCGTGATACGCATCATCACAGGGTGGAACTGTGTTATCATATTTAAACATTTAGTGTTGAAGGGGTTTTCTATAGGCAATTTACAAATTCAATATTAGGTTTCTTCGAATACATTTGCAGATATAAAAATGTTATACTCTTGAAAAAGATTTAAATGAAGACGCATAGAAATGTCTTCCTTGATATTTTTGTTCCAAAAACATGAATTTTTATTTCGATTCCGGAAAATTTACCTGACACTTTAAATCCTTCAATATTAATAGTACCTACCTATGTATCTTTAAAAAACCTACAAGAATCATAACAGATACGCTTTAGAATAGGTCTCAGCTGGTAAAAGTTCTTAACTCAATACATTTGGTGGTAAATTGTGTTTATAGAATGTAAATTTAAAAATAAAATAAGTGGACAATTTTGTTTTTGTAATTTTCTACTATAAATTGTAAGATAGAAATACGAAATTGTTGTGAGTCGTAATATAATCTTATGGGGTAAGTGTGTGGCTGCAGCGAACCTTGACGATTTCATGATAAAAAAAAATACGAAATGTGTTACAATACCTATAATTACTAATTTTTTTTTGAAACTGAGATAATGTATTATTCTTATTATGTTATTGAGTGCCGTCCACTTGTGTAATCGTCATGCATGTTATATCGTTTAGACTCACGGTGTGCAAATGGCCAACAAAATTGTCTACCCGTTCGATTAATTCTCTCGCCAACAACATACTTCAACGTCGATGCAGACATTTCTACATCATAGTAGTTATTATAACCGTTTAAATATTATCGAAAACAATCTTTAACTAATTGTTAAGCTCGACTATTCGTATAGTCCGACATTTTTGTAGCCAAAATTATTTATTTTGTTGCAATCCAAACTACAAAGATATTATTCATGGCTTCAAGAGCATTTGAAACTTTTACGTAGGTACTTTTATTAATACATATATTAGTACATTTTACTATACATCATGGCATAACCTATCAAAATATTTAGATTCCTGTTGAGCTTCTGCCAATTTATAAAATGATCCTATTCACACTGTTCTATGGAAAGTCCGGTACCTATTGACTACAAAATTAACAACAATATAATAATGGTATACCTAATGTTTATGATATAGATATAGATATATTATTATATTATTATATTAAATACATGCCACTATAATAATTAATTATGGTATAAAGGCGATGTATTCGGCAAATAATAATTCAACTCACCTACCTTATATTATTACTAATTAACAAACAGTACAATAAATTACAAATTACTAATAAATATAATATGTATTTATGTATATATATATTAAAATATACTCAATAATCTATAAGTCTATCTCCGCTCTGTATAGTTTTTTTTACCGTAATAATTTATCATATTGAATTCAAATTTAACTTATACTTTAGCCAACTGCAGTAACTTGATCGATGACGAAGTACACTAAACAATCAACATTTACTGTAGGTACTGTAACGCGATTACTTACTTAATTGCTTTTTAAAAAATTTTTTTCCCGAATTTGATAATATTACAATATTATTTACAATGTCTGGTATCTATACCTACAGAAAAATATTGGAGTTTGTATTCAATTCTTGATAGGTAAAATAAAACAATTAATACAGAGTTTACTGTTTTGAAATGAAAGTATAGTACCCCTATTAAGAGGTACCTACCAATGTGGAAATTTATATTTCTTAGGTCCTTAATTTGTTATGAATAACTTAGAGCTAAGTGCTAACGCAACATATTAAGAGGACGTTATACTCTCATGTGTTGTCTCCGGAACAAGTGCGTAAGGCGTAACACAGCAAATTGTACGCTCAGCAGGTCACGTTTAGCCCCGTTAGTTTAATAACTAGAATGAATTGACGTCTTATAAAATTTTAAGTCAAGATTATTATCTAGGCCAGGGATTCTCAAACTCTTATAAACACTGTACCCTTTTTTATCAATAATTTTTTTTTAGTACCCCCTTCTTAGTTACTAAACTAATATATATATAAAAAAAAATTAAAGACTTTTAAAGAATTTCTTCCTTGTTGGTTTGTTGGCCAGACTCGTACCCCTTAAAACATTTCGAGTACCCCCAAGGGGTACGCGTACCACAATTCGAGAATCCCTGCATTAAAATATAATATTTTTTAGTTACTATAAATGTAAATTTGCATCGAAGTTTGGATGTCCTGGTTCCCTTAAAGCATGTGTCAATGATGGAATACAAATATATGAGGTACTAAAACTTCATAATCATATGGTTTGCGACGAAGATATGAGTATGATTAATTTTAAAAATATTCTGAAACAAAGAAGTGAAAATTAAATTGGTTCACTAAATCTAACGTATGAAGAAGAAGCAAGATCATATGCCTTATTCAAATTAGTTATTTTTAATTTTAATTTTCTAAGTGCTTAATAATAATTATTGATTATTTTTAATTAGTAATCAGTCTGCAAAAAAATAATGAACTTCAACAATCTTCAAGATACAAGCGTTTTTACCACCGAAGTAGTAACGTAGGGCAATCTACTGTTCCTGTTATTGTAGCTAATTCGAATCCCATTGATAGTGGATTTAAATCATTCAATATTAACAAGTCATTAACTAATCGTGATATAGGAATACAAGTCTCTTTCGATGTTACAGACGTAAAACATTTTTCATTTGAATGTTGCTTTTTGAATAACAACTGCATTAGTACTTCTATAACAACTCAAACCAATTTTATAACTAAACAACAAAATGTTAAAGATAAATGTTGTAGTCCTAGCTCTGAATCTTATAATTCTTGTTTATCCTGTGATAAATTTCATGGTTATGAATCTATTAACAATGAACTTTCTTTGAAATATTTGACAGGCACTTCTTATGCTGTATTTAACATGTTGGTTAATATGTTACCAGATACAGCCACACAGGTGTTAATAGCACTTTAAATAACTACAATAAACTTCTTATTTTTTAATGAAAATAAAACTTTGTGTTAGTTTTTCAGTTATTGGGGTTATGTAAAAAAAAAAAAAAACAAAAAAACAGTTTATTTTTTGGCCTAGTAAAAATACTATTTCAGCAACTTTTCTCTATGCTTTTAAAATAATTATCCCAACTGTCGTTGTATTGTAGACTGTACGGAAATTAAAGTCGAGCAGCCGGCTACTGTAGAGCAAAGAGTATGTATATACTCAAGATATAAGAGTTCATATACCATTAAATGTCTTGTTGCTATAACACCTATGGTGCCATGAGTTTCCTTTCAAAATGCTATGGAGGTCCGTTTAGTGATACATTTATAAAATTATAAAATAAAATTTGACAAAACAAAATATATGAAAAAAAAAATTTAAAAAAAAACTATTCGAAACAAAAAAATTAATTAATCAATAATTTGAATATAATTAATATAGATAATATATACCCAGGGAGCCACAGAGCCCTTAGATTACTATAGGACAGTTTGAGAACCGCTGTTCTATACGATCAAACATTTTTATTCCGGTAAACATACACTTGACATTTTTTTATTATTGTTACCTAATTATGATCTTACCAAACTGCGTTTTATTATAATAAGTTATAACTAGAAAACTGATTATAGTCTTTGCTCAAAAAAGTTTTACAAAAACTGCGCGAGAAAAAGTTTTTCTGTTTGAACGACAAATTGCAGTCAGCTTAAATAGGCTGTTTTGTTTGGAAGCAGAACTTTGAGGGTGAAACTTTTTTCATCTTTGCATCAAAGTGGACTCAGTAGCTCCAATTACAGTATGTTCTCTACATGTATCTATTCAACTATAATACCTTTTTTCTTTTTTTATT